TTTTAAACAACCATTTTAAATTTCATCAATTTTATATATGTATTGTGCTTGAATTTATTTATATAAGAAGTGCACGTAAATATATAGATATTTTTATATGTACCATAAAGTGCTGAGTTTTGTGTATCATTATATACACATTTTCAGTTGGTGACCAGCACCGGAAGTGCTATAGTGCCCGTGATTATAAAAAAAAAAAAAAAAAAAAACGTTTGCGACGGGCTGAATCTAAGGGAGGTAAGTATGTATTGCACAGATTTTTTGGTATATAAACACTCGATATGGCTATTATCAAAATTTGTTGTTCATACTGTTTATAAAACAAAACTTTAAAAAATTTTGAAAAGCATAAGACATTCGTTAAGGATACAAAGTTGTGAAGAACTTTGATGAAAATATGAAAACTTTTTTGTGATTCCTTTTTCTCCTTTTCAAATTTTGCAAATTACATAGGGTGTGTATATGGCTGTTAGCACATTTGTGTGTATGACTCTAAACACACACATAAATATATATATTTATAGATATATATTTACAAATACACATACAGACAGTAAGAGTACTTGTAAATAGAATGCATACACAGTTAACATGCACATTAAAAAGAATGGGATACTCGTTTCACTAATATAAGATTTTTTACTATCCAGATAATTTAACTTTGTGATTTTGTTTATAATATTCCAATCATTTCTCTAGTTAGCACTAAACACAGAACTTATAAACTTCTTTGATTAGTATATGTATATTGAATATTATTATATATCAGGGGTGGCCAAACTGAAACTTGCAAGTTAATGTGTAGCTCTTTGTGTGACATGTAGAAATACATTGGCTAAATTACTTTTTTTATCACAGTTAATATAAAAGGTAAATAAGTTTTTGTTTCTTTTTAAATTCAAGCTTTAAAATTATTTATATTTTTGGTTGTTTTATATTAAAATACATGCTCATATATATATATATATATATATATATATATATATATAATTGTTTCAATAGTTAATTACCAAATATGTACAATATAGTTAAAAAATCTATAATGAAGAGCTTGAAAACATATTGATAATACTAAATCTAATGTGAGAATATGAAATATAAATTTCTATATATCAGAACGAGGTTACATAATTGACAAAGTAGAAAAAAAATCTGTCATGTGTTTTGTCCTCTAAAAGGACATTATATTCTCATTGATAGAATTTTATATATATTTATTTATTTGATGGGGAGATATAAACGTAAATCTCAAATATACTTATGCAACAAGAGGAAACACTGAAAACTTAGGAACACCAAAGTAGAAAAAAAAATCTATGCAGCACATTTTGTCCTCTAAAAAGATTTTGTTGGACAAAAGTAATGTTCTTACTAACGGAATTATATATATATATGCAGAGGAGGAAGAGGTCATTGTGATCTTCTCTTGTTACAATGTGGCATATTAAAAAGAATAGCAATAAAAACAAAAGGGTTGGGAAACTGAATGAGATCGGGTAAAAAACTGTGTGTCTGCACATGACAGATACCAGAAATTTAAAAATTTACCAATCCTACATCTTCAGTATTTCCCTTCGGTGCATAAGTATATTCAAGATTTAAGTTTAATATAATATTAGTATATATATATATATATATATATATATACACACACACACATAAAACTCCATCAATTAGAGGACAAAAAATTTTTTCCACTTTGTCATTCAACTACTAAATTAAGTTTAAAATATGGCATGAATAAATATTATTGTATATTTGGACAGCAACTCTTCTTTTAGATATGTTTCACTGAATATAACAAAGAAAGTTTTTTTTATTAAGTTTTTCTAATTTTCCTTTTTGTGGGGACAGTTTGTACACTCTCTTAGGTCCCCCACCCCAAAAAAAGAAAAATAGAAAACTGTAAGAACATTAGAAAAAACTCAATAAAAAAAAAAAAAACTTCTAAGATTTTTCTTGTCTGTTACTTTTTTCATTGAATGTCAAAAGATTTAACAATAAAAAAGTTTGTGTAAATTTGTTTGTCAAATACCTGAGTTTTATCATGTGGCACTTGCATCAAGCAATTTTGGTCATCCCTGTCATATATAACATTATGTAATAATAATAATAAATTTCAATCTCTTGCCACACTTTGTAAGTATTTCTTAAAATACACAAGGTTAAAATTAATACTGACAAAAGCCTCAAGCAGAGCATGAGACTGTGAAAGCTGAACTATGAGAAACTGTTAAAACATATGAAAGCTTCCTTAAAGGAAGTAATAAATATCTTTATCAATCATTTCCTTGTTTTTGATTGTCTTACAGGTCATTAGGGACTTTAACAACTTTTATCTAATAAAAATTAGTAAAATTCTTTAAGTATCAACAGGTTAGGATATAAACTCTTTTACTGCTTAACATAACACAATTACTAACAGACTTCAATCTATTTTACAGAAAATCATCTCTTGATTATTTTGGTGGATTTTACTCATATTGAAATATGAGCTTTTGGTATTTAGTATTTGTAATAAGAGAATTGGAGGAGATAATATTTGTAAAAATAGTAAAATTTCTGTCAAATTTACTTTGGCAACTTTAGATCTCATGATATGATCCATATTAGGTGTATATACAAAAGGATATATGTAGTTGTCTGAATGGGTTTATGTCACTGTATATAAAACATTTTTCTCTTTCTTGCTTTAGCATAAAAAGAGTAAAAGTCAAAGTTGTCTTTACTTAATTTACTTTTAAAGTATAAATTAATGTACACAAAGTAAACTAAATTTTATGCCCTATCAAAAGTATATATTTAGACTAATTGAACTTAATTTTAATAAAAATTATTATAAAAATCTAACTTACTAAAATTGTAATACTTAATTTTAAAAAAATGAACTTCGAAGATTAAATCAATTAATTTTTAAGAATTTACTTTTTTTGGGGGGGATTTCAATTTTCAAACAAAAATTTTACTGAATCAATTATAAAACATTCTGCACAGTGGCAACTGAAAATGTATTCAGTGTATTCAAAACAAAATTACAAATGGTGAATCATTAAATTGTCTGTCCACATTTTGAATTTGAAAATACATTAGAGATAAACTGAGAGAGAGAGAGAGAGATTTGAGCAAATATTTAAATCCTTTGTGTACACGTTATCATGTGTATGTTATTTGTGAAAGACTAGTCTTTTTCTTCTGAGATCTAAGAAACTATTCTGAGGCTTCAAACCAAGCCAAATAAAGTCGAAAAGAGTTAAAAACCATATCTGAAAAGTTAGCCCAAAAAGATTTACCCAAGGCACTTGATGGCCTTTGGCTAATAGTGAGTCAAATCTTGAACTAATGCAACTCAAGCAAAAAAAAAAGTTTCCTCTTTGGGGTGTCATTAGACTTGCTGATTGTTAAGATAAATATTCTTAGGCTTAGACAAGAGCTAGACATGCTATTATCATGGATTGTGAAAGTGCTTACTTTATAATCAACAAATTCCCCACCCTCTTAAATTATATGTAATTAAACCATCTCCTTTTACTTAAAGATTTTTATTGCATAATTTTCAAACAGAATTTAATCATTCATTTACTGTAATTCATATATTAAAAAGAAGTTATGTTGATTTAAAAAAAAAATAATAATAATAATTGTGCTATTTAATACAATATTTATAGAATACTGGCTTTGGTGAGGGACCAGTTATTAAAAAGAAGTACAAAAAAGAAAATTGTCCATAGTCATAAAAAATAAGAAATTACAAACATTTTATAGAAGCCTGTAAAAAATTATAACATTAGTGCTGTTGAAGAAATAATACTTGCTGGCAGACTATAGAAATTAAAAATTTGATATTATAAATTCTACAAATTACATTATCATTTAAATAATTTTATTTATTTTGTTTGATTGTTTTTCAAATAGTATAATGCATTATTTATAAAACCACAACACCAGACATATTATAATGAAAAATACAGCTAAATTTGTAATCAATATAGACATACTGGAACATTGTCTTTTTTTTTTTTTTTTTTATAGAAAGAACAGCTCCCACTTTCTATTGGAAGAACACTTGAAATACATCAGAAACTCATAATACTAATGACTATAAACGAAGGATTATAATGAATAATTATCGTATTATAATGATGGTTAATTTCTATAAATATGTTTATAATATAATAAGGATAATTTCTTTTTAGATAAGAACAAGCATTATTGGAGCATTTCTACCTTTCAAGACTTGAAATCAAATTTAAAAATAAGCAGTTAGTGTAAATTAAAAACCAGAGAAATATTTCTACAAAATCCTTAAATATATTGGCAGAAAATAGGAAGGCATTATAAAGTTAGAACTTTGTTTTAAATAAACAGTTGAAATACGTGATTTTCTAATTCAGCTGTTTTTCTCGTTTTGTACAGTATGGAATTAAAGGGCGATAACCGAGATCTTGCGTACGGAATTCGTGTGGGCTATTGAATGGACATAATTCAAACCTGATCCCATATTTTACTAAACGTTTTTGTTAGTTTTGTTTGTGCTTTTCATTTTTTCCTTCTAGCATGTAAATTTTGACGGTAGCTGGAACTGTACATCTATTCAGATTTCGTTATTAATAATTTTGAAATAGTATGACTGTAAGTGTGTGTATTTTGATAATATGTGAATGTTATATATGGATATAATTAAAAAAAAACACAGCATGGCAAGAGAGAGAGAGGAGGAGAATAATAGAAATGTGTCATGTCAGTAAAAAAAGGTAGAAATATGGCGGACACTGGAATGTGCCGTTTTTTTGTTTTTTGTTACGTTTTTTTTTAAACATTTGAATTGAGTAGAAAAACAAAGAGTTTTAACTTCATACATAGAATATACACATTTTTTTTTTTTAGGAATATTGCTGCTTATGAATTTTTTTCTTTTTGTTGTTGTAAAAAGTTTGAGTATACTTTCACATCATATTCTTCTTGTCAGTAAAATGTTGGTTGAGGAAAATCTTTCTTGACAATTATTCTTCCTGAAATTAAGAAGGAAAAAAACATTTGTTTATAAAACTTATAGCCAGAAAAATTTTTATGATATTCTCAAAGAAACAAAAATGATAAAATTTATCTAGGAGAGGCATTAATTTATAATTTCTTTTTGTTATTAGTACAACAGATTAACATAAAATTATGCAAAATAAATGTTTATTTTTATTGATGTTAGGCTGATACAAAAGTTCCCAGTGTTATTTTATGCACAAAAAAAAGTTTTACTCAGCTCTTTGTTTCTCATGCAATTGGGGGCAAGAATTTTGGTTGTCATTTAAAAGACCTAAAAGAAAAATGAGCAAATGTGTGTGTGGGGGGGGGGAGGTTTCCACCTGAATTTAAAGAAACATCAGTCAACATTTAAGCACTTGTTTTTGCCTTGTGTGAAATTGACTTTATTTTTTCTGTAGTGATTTTTAAATTAAGACAGAAAATCATGCCTTGATCGTGTAGTGATATCATTTGACATTTCTGCAGGATGTTACAGAAATTGTTTTAACAATTATCATCTTGACAAAGAAGATCAACTGAGTGGAGTGGACCTCCCAAGAACCAGGTCAACAAACCTTGGGTTCTTGATGAATGATTTTTTTAAACAAAAGCTGACATGACAAAGAGGGCTTGTTCTCTATAAGACAGTGGTCTCTAGAAGCCTAACTCAGTTTTCTTTGTTTGCCTACCCTTATGAGAAGGTTGAAATTGAATAAAATTTTCTGACTGGTACAATTTCATCTCATGTTCTTTTTTGGAGGGGTAACAATCCAGCCAAAGAATTATTTTTCCATAAGTGTTTCACTGAAAAAAAGATTTTTCCATAAGTGTTTCACTGAAAAAAAGCTGCATCCTGCAAATGAACCTGGTGTCTGGTCTGAGTTGCAATGCTACAATCCTGGAGATGCTCAACACTTCAGCTTATACAGAATTTATAAAGTACCATAGATTGCAGCATAAAAGTTGAGTCTTCAAGCCTAAAAAAATATTTCTAAAACTAGGGTTCGGGTAGAAAATGCAAACATTTACCACAGAGTTGTAAACAAGTGGAACAGCACTCCTAACAATCACACTACACCACTTACTGTACCTTCAACAGGCTACCACAAATATACCCCATGCCCAAGGGCAAGTTCTGGATTTGCAGAGACTTATGCCTGAAGTATGTAAAATATTCAGAGACTGCTATATTTCTTTTAATAATTGATGATGAATAAATGATTTTAACAATTGACAGTGAAAAAAAGTTTAAATTGTCTTCACAATTGATGGTGAAAATAAATAAGCTTTTGTGTTAAATCTGTGTTGTTATTTTTAACATTACTTGCCTTTATAATAATAAAAATATTTACTGGTAAAATAGCCTAGGGATCTACTTTACCAAGACCAGTAACATAAGCCTAAAAGCATGTTTGCCTTTTTTACTGAGACTGGCAAAATAGTCTCTTCCTTTTTAATGTCTTTTCTTACTACATTAATTCAGACTGACTACTTGATACATTATCTTTTTATTTATACCTGGCAATTTCTAATAACTCAATAGCTATACATGCTTAAAAGCTTGAAAATTTATAGATTAATAATTTGATGTTTAAATGCTGTGTAATTTTTATCTTTCTTCATAAATTATAAGTTAATTAAATTTAAGTCAATATTCACTCAGTAGGAATACTGTATTGTAATAATTTTTAATAAAAAGATGTCTTAATTTTTTCTGAAACTGATTAATGAATAGAATATTTTCTACTTATGTGTGTACCATAATTTGAGTCTTTCTAATTTGTTAATTTTACCAAATCTTAACTTATATATATTTTTATAATTTTTCTTCACTACAACCCATTTTAAAATGGGAAAGTTTTAAGAAAACTGATATTTCCAACCAGAGAGAGAAAATTCTAGGACACATAACAAAAAAAGAAAGCTTAGAGAATTTAACACGCATAAGACATAGAAGGTAAGAGAAAAAGTGAGGAAAGGTGAGTAATCTACTTAAAGTGAATGGACCGATGGTGGAATAAGGTCAAAGTTTAAAGATAAAAGAACAGAAGTTACTTAAAGTAAACAAAATACAAGAAATGGTCGAGAGCAGCTATGATTGTTTATATTCTGAAAGAACATGCCATAGAAAGGAGAATGCAATACAGAGCTTGGTTAAGAAATTCTGCCACATGTAACATATTCTTTTAACCTATCACTTTCAGTTTATCCTTTAATCGATTTAATAACAACATTTTAAAGATGACAAAATATCATCCTTTTATAGATGAAATAATATAAAACCATAAATAAAAAAAGAACAAAAATGTAATGAAAAATACTTTTATTACTGAACAATGATGATTTGTATTTATCTAAAAGATTTTGATAAGATAACAAATAAGAAATGTTTATCAACCTAACATTTTTTACTTTTATTAAAACTTTGTCAGAGATTGAGAAAGAAGTGGCTAATAATTTTTTCATCACACTGGTACACTTCATTTCTTTTCAATGCAAAATATATCAGACTTGGCAGAATAATATTTAACAGAATATTTCTCAAAAATAGAAATGTGTTGCTTTTCAACTGTAATATTTTTACATTCAGTTTTACTCAAAGTAACATATTTCTTCTAAAAAAAACAAAAAAAACAATCTCTAACATCTTAAAAATACCACAAAAAAAAAACAATCAAAATTACATTTACTAGCAGTACAGATGAAAATTTCATGGTTTTTCTATTTGAAATTTCTGATGTATCATAGTATCTACTGAATAAAGAAACTCATTGCAAGTTCCATGGCAACAAAGTGAACATTTGTCTTGTTTGTAATTAATATGCATTTGGTTTTTGTAATAAATGTGTATATAATTTTTGACTGTATGTTCACTATCGTTATTACTTACTTTGGGGAGAAATAGTTTAATTTGGTGGTCTATAAGGTGGTTAGGGAAGCTGTTGTTGATTAATGTTTGTTTAACATTATTAAGTTCTTTGAGGAAGAGTAGCCGAGAGGATGAATTCTGGTGCACTCTTTTTAGAAAGTTTATTACTGCTATTTTGTACCTAAGTGGACATTCGCTTTTGAAGTTAAGGTGGCACGAGTTTTTGCTGGTGGGTTTTTTGTATAATGATGTAATGAAAGTGTTATTGCTGTATTCAACGAGGACATTTAAGAATGGGAGTTTGTTTTTTTGGCTAAGTTCATAGGTAAAGTTAAGGATAGAGTTTTTTTCAAATGTGGTCTTAAGTGTATCTATTTCTTTAATGTTATTAGCTAAAATAAAAATATCGTCTACGTAGTGAACATATATTTTCGGTTTACGGACCTGTGTAAATATCATTTTCTACGTGGGACATGTAATAGTTGGAAAAGCATGGACCAAGTGAGTTTCCCATACTAACACTATTAGTTTGGGTGTAAATGTTGCCATTATGGTCATAGAATGGAACTTTGGTTGTGCATGTGTGTAGTGATTTTTTTAGTATGGATGGCAGAGCGATAGAATTATTAACTATGAACAAGGCCACAATGTGCTAACCGTATTCAGAAAATAAAACATCCCTACTACACACTAAGACATACACATAATGCACACACTCAATTAAGCTGAAAAATCGAATCATCCTTGATAATGACTAAAGGTATAGCCAAAAGCGCTCAGAAATATAAAACATTTGGACAGTTTTTACACACTCTTTCTCCAGAAAAGAAAGCTCTTGTTCAAACACAAGAAAAATTAAATAAAAAGCTTAACCGTAGTACCTTGTCTGTCATTTTTAATGAAACATGCATATGCATATATATATATATATATATATATATATATATATACACCGATACACACACACCTAGTTGTCCAACCAAAAACTACACCAAAATTGCCCAAATCGTGTAAAAGCATAATTACCCATCCCACCAAACGTTTAATATCTAAGAAAAAAAAAATCACTACAGTAATTGAGTTTCTTTTTTCCAGGTTTTCAGATAAGACATTTAGCCACCTTGACACTATTTTTCAAAAGAATCATTGAAAAACACTTTGAGTTATTCAGCTAGAAAGAGAACAGGTTAAAATATTGTGTCAGCCCCACTGTCTTCCCAAATGAGCAATGGTGAGATGAAAAAGATCATTCAGGCCTTCAGTAATATACTCTGGCTTCCATTTTTAAAGTCTATTCAAAAAAACCATCAAGAGAACAGTGTATAAGTTTAAAAAAAGAGGGAACAGTAGAAAGGAAAACTGGACCAGGAGGTCACAACAAGAAGAGGAATAATCATTTCAACTTACAGCTAAAGAGATCAATTAGAAAAGATCCAACTCAGTTCATAAGGCTTTTGGCATGTGAAAGAGGAGTTTCAGCTATGACAGTCCAAGGAGGTGAAAAAAAGATTTGAAAATGAAATTGTACAGGAAACCTGGGAGGCACCTTGTTATTCCAGGGCAGAAAGTTAGGTTAGAGAGAGCAAAGATCATCTTGAATAAGTTGGAAAATGATCCTGGAATATATATATATATATATATATATATATATATATATATATATATATGAACTTTATTTCAATATTTTCATGGGCTTCTGATCCTTAACTATGATTAATTAATGGTGAACATGTCATTTTCGTTTATGATTGATTTCATCATGATTCTACTGTTAAGCTTGGAGAGTAATTATACATTCTTATTGCCCAAAGTAGAGTCCAATAGTATTATATAAACCTTGGAGCATTCCAGTAAGATATCTTTAATCATTTCAGATTCAACGGTTCTGAGCATAATCTAACAATTGAACAATTTTGCTGTTACACCAGGTATATATATATATATATATATATATATATATATATATATATATATTATTATTTTTAAAAAAATATAACATAAGTATGTTATAAAATCACTACAAAAATAGCCATTTTGCTTCAACACCCTCGGTGTCTTATCAATTGAATTCAATTGATATTCAATTAAACTTGGTATTATATATATATATATAAATATATATATATATATATATATATATATATATATATATATATATGTATGTGAAATGCTAAAAGATATAAAAGTGAGAGCAAAGATAATGATCACTTAAAATTTGAGCGGAGCTGTAATTACAAGAAAATGAAAATCAAAATAATGAAGAAGGAAAATCATATAGTTTAACCCCACTATGGTAAAAATAGCATAGTTAAAATATTTTCAAAGTTATTATTAAACATTTTGCCAATTCATCAGAGTTGAAAAAGTTATTCAGTCAAAATGATCTGAAGGTGAACTATAGTTGCACCAACTGTATAGATAAAATTATGATAAACCATAATAGAAAAATAATGGAGGGGTGTGATAGCAAGGAATCCTATGGATATAACTGCAGAGTTAAAGAGAAATGTCCTTTAAACAGAGCATGTTTGGTAAGTGATGTTGTTTATGAAGCTAAGTTGATTAATGAAAGTGAGATTAAATACTACATTCACCACCAAGGGTGAATAGAAAAGATGTTTCTACAACTAGAAAATGAGTTTGAGCAATATAAAATACATAGGTATCACTGCTCTTTCTATCTACTATTGGGATGTTCTTTGCAACGGAAAAGAAGTGCTGTAGTGAGTCCCAATAAAAATAATATAAACAAAAAAAAATGTAAATAATTAAAATTAAAATAAGTCATTTGCATTTTCCTTTAAAACCTTTATATCTTTCTTTCTCTATATAATTCTCTCTCAATTAAACAGAGGAAGAATAAGACTGAACCCAAACAAAAAATGCTGGAAGTTTACAGGACCTCAGTCTACTTATTTATGACTATAAATCTACCAAAATAAGACAGGTTCCACACATAACTTCTGTTATATAAAGAAAATGAAAAAGGAAGGGACGCCAAGAAAAACACAGTAGATTGATTCTGACCTATTCCTAAGATGACTACTACTACTGGCATGGTCTGACATTGAAACTACCCACTACCAGGTCAAAACAGACTTTCTCCAGACTGCTACCATTATCTGTCTTATAATCAAACGTTTTGCTAGACCAAATATCCAAGGACTCACTCTAAAGCAAATAAATAAAAATATATTATTTATTTTAAACCCTTGAATCAGTTTGTTTTATTTCCAAAGTTCCATTAAATAAACACCAAGAATCCAGTACACAAACCACAGTGCCAACTATCACATGGAAAATAACATCTATGGCCAGACCATTTAACAGAGTTGGAGAAGGTTGTAATTTGTAAATAAGTAAAAAAAATGACTAATTCTACAGTGAATGGATGACCAGCTGTTGAATAAGGGAAACAAGCTGATAGCCAAATGTAAGCATAAGTATTTAATTAAAAACCAACATCAGGGGAAGTAGATACCTACCACCCCTGGATTATATATAAAATTATAGCTATTGGTTTCATATTTTATCTGCATGATGATTGGGCACCCACATGAAACTCTGCATAGCACATCTTGATATGAAAATTATCAATTGTCCAAGACTATTTATTTTCATTTTCTGGTAGGTATCTTAGGATAGAATCATGACCAAAGTGAGAGCACTTGGTTAAGATCTAAATCATTTGTAATGACTTGCTAATCATCACTAAACATATGCACATACCAAAGATTTGTTTGATGCTGTTATTTTAGAATTGAGTCAGTCGGATCAAATGTCCACCTACCCATTCATCCGAGTCCACACCTTCTGTCAAATCTTGTGGCAACAGTTCATCCTTTTTGTTATCCATCTTAGCTGTCATCGCATCTATCAGCTGAAAGGAAAAGGCAAAAAAAAATTAGCCTAAATAACTAGGAAAAAGAATGCTTTCTTTTGCATTACAAAGGTATTAAGTTATTTCTGCCAAAAGCTGTCAAGGTTGATAATGGGTGTAACAGCATTGTCTAAGCAAGAGTTAAGAGAGAGTGATTTTTTGTCCAGAGGCTCTTTCATCTACTCTTTTCTCCCTCAACTGTTACATCATGCCAGAGACGACATTTTTTTTGTGTCAAGATATCTGGTCATAGGGTAGAGCACAAGGATAAGGATTCATACCTTTTCCCAGAGTATTAGTGACTATAAAATGTCTCAGCTGGGATTTGAATTCTGTTCACTGTTTCCATTTTTGATGCCTATAACCATTCTGACACATCATATTAAATGGAATTTTTAATCAAACTTTATTTCTTATAAAATAGTTTTTATTTTTTATTTATTTATTTATTTTTTTTAAGTGGGTACACATGTTCAAGTTGCTATTCCTGGTTTTTATGTTCTTAAACTGAAATTAGCAACAAAATATATAAAAGAAAATAACACTTATATTAATAAGAAAACATCTCATATCATTTATATTATTATGAGTTGTGTATTTTCTTAAACTATTACCATTTGTAAATAGGAGATAGGCTCTTTTTTTTTTTTTTAATCAATTCACCCCAAGTAAGGTGACAAGGCCACTAAGATGCAAGGGGCTACTGGGAGTGAAAGAGAATGAGAAGACTTTAGAAGGAACCAGAAATCCAATCATAAACAGGAAACAAGGGATAAACCTCTACCTAACTGGTTAGAGAATGAACCAGACAATAGATGAATCTATCTCCTCCTATGAAATATGTTGTGTAGAAAGACTAACTTTCATTACACCTATTATTGAAACATGGATTCATCCATCCACTATGAGTAGAATGTCTGGTCATGGAAAAGTGGAAAAAAAGGGGGGTCAAAAAGGTGTAGCATTTTCCATTCGTATGCTTGTCGCACTGAATTATTTTATTCTAAATCCATATTCTTGTGTGATTAAACCCTTCTTCGCTCAATATTTTGTTTCCAGTGTTTTCCTTATAGTCTTAAGTAACCAGCAACTATATATGAATTTTATAACAAAATATTTCACAAAAAGTTGTTTGAAAGTCAATAAGACATCAAAATCTATTTTTTCGCTTTCTTTTCAATAAAATTTCTTCTTCATTACTTGAAGATTTCTAAGTACAATGATTTCTTGGTTAGAAAAAAAAATTAGATAGTATAAAAATAAAAATTAAATAATTAAAAATAAATTATAAAATTAAATAATCATAAAAATTAAATAATTAAAAAATTATAAAAATTAGGTAGTATAAAAATGTAAGAGATTATTTTAGGATTTCTGATTGCTTTTGAAAATCTAATTTTCTGGTGAATTTTTAATGCTGTCATTAAAATAAAGCAGATAAGTCATTCTTTTTTTATTTCAGAAAAAAAAATATATAACACTGAAGATATTACTTTTGATTTAGTAAACATTAAGAAACTAGTCAACCACTGACTTACCTCAAAACAAACTTGTATTTTTTAATAAACCTATTTAAAATTACTATTTTATGGTATGCCTTCTTACTCAACTTATACAGGTGGGGGCTACTTTCCAAAATCCCTGTTTCAATGACCAAATACTAGAATACTGATGTAAGGATACAGAAGGTGATTATCATCCTTTGGTAGAGATAAGTCATGTGGGTCATGTAACAGCTGCTTAGTGATGTCACTTCATACAGTGATGAAAGTTGCCAGTCATTCAAACAGTAATTATTGGTATCAAGACATGTTTGTCTTGCCAACTGCCAAATGCTTCAGCTTACAAGTCTATGGTGCCTTTTCCCTTTGGGAATATATCCTCCCCAGATATAGAAAAAAAACTCCATCTCACAGTCCTCAATTTGGGAAAACCTAAGACTCACTGTTTCCCCTTCGTGGAATATGTCTTTGCCTGAGACATAGTAGATGAATCCGGCCTGTTTTAATCCGATTTCATGTCTTCTCCAGAAACACAGAAGAATCTCCATATTATACGTAAGACCTTTCCTTTTCTTTCTCCTTACACTCTGCTTAATGTGTAGGTATATATGTTATTCTCTACATGGGACACATGTATATGTGTATATATAGTTTTCTGTATGTCTTAGTGATATAAAAAGTCTCTCTGAGAACAAAGCATGTTGCATTTTCTTTTCCTTTCAGCCATTCCATTTGTAAAATATGGTGTTATATCACAAATATAATTATGCCCATAATTGGGGAAATACAAATAGGAGAATAAACCTTTCTTCCATAGCTCTTTCCAGTTATACTGATTTTGGGAAGTGAGTCAGGCAAAGAATTTCAGTATCCCTTTATCAAATCAACTTTATTTAACAATTAAGTTTTATATAGCCAATATCTGTTTTTATCATTTTGATTAAATTTTGTAACCCCTGAAAAAATATTTAATTAAAAACAAATATTTCATACAGTATCACACTTAGTCATTTGGCTTTAGTGATCATAAAATAATCCCTAAGAATTGCTATTTCAGCTCGTGTGTAGCTGATATTAACTTTCTGTAAGGTACAATAATTATGAGATTATTAAAATAACAAATATGCAATCATATTCAAAGTAACTTTCCAGATGGAGCGAACATATAGTCTTGGGAAACGTCCCACAGAATTAGGATGTCTTTGAAATTTGAAGCACAGTTTTTGGTTGCAGCCTGCAAGATCCTATAATATATTAACCAAAGGGAACACTACTAATACAGAATAAGCAATGTAAAATAACTATATATATATATGTATACATATATATATATATATATATATATATATATATATATATATATATATATATATATAGGGAGAGGCAAAAGTCATGTGCCATAGGGGTTAATTAATTAATCATGTTTTTAATGTCTAATTTGTTTTGATAGGTCCTGTTGAGTGGCCACCAAGGTCACCTGTCCTCACACCCATGGATTTTTTTTCTGTGCAGTCATTTCAAATCAGTTAAGAAATATTGAGAAACTTAAAAAAAAAAAAATGAAATATGAATGCAGTAAAATGACAGAGGAAACTCTCTGACCCATTAATGGATCATGCCAGCACAGAATTGAACTGTATTTTGAAAAAGGAGGAGGACATTTTGAGCAGCACAGATAACAATTAAATAACTATTAAATAAAATTTTCATGTGTAATTATACTTTTAATAAATTATCCTATGGTGTGCAACTTTTGCCTCACCCAGTATGTATGCATGTGTGTGTGTGTAGGTGAGAGAGAGAGTTCAAAATTAAGTACAGATGATAAAATTAAAATCTAATTTTTTTCTTTTTTTTAAAATTTCTTGTCCTTTAAGAACATAGGCAATCATAAAGTTCACAACAGATTCCCCTTTATCTTTATTTTTTGCCAAGAGAAGTGGTTTCCCACTACCCCCAACCAATTAACATACAAATTCTTACACCCTTCTAGACTTGAAGGCTGCTCCCACCACACTGAAAACACTTTGGCGATGGATTTCATGTTGTTTTTCCCTGGTTACTACCAGTAATGCTAGAGAACCCATTATACCCTGCCATTTAACTTGTAGGTGGTGGTTAGGGGGGGGGGGTGAGAAAAGATGAATTCATACATTTTCCAACTATAATTTATCATTTCCAAAATTATTTAGTTTGACAAAGTGAAAAATATTTGGTATCTTTAGTCAATCAAAAAATGATATTCCATTTTAAAAGTGACATTTTTACACATGTAATCTCAAGTATAAATGATAACGGATTTTACATATGAAACCTGAAAATGATTGGTCAAGAAAATACCCATTCAACCACACATGTTAGATAAACAAGAAAACATTCATGTATATGCAATAAAAAGTAGACATACTATGCAGTTTCTTTTGACTGTAATGTAGAAGTGAAAACCTTCTATTGGAAATAAAGATATTGATTATTATTCAAAGAAAAGCTAGTAAAATATATCTATGTATTTAAGAGGCACATTTTAAGTAGTCCTTAATATGACATAATAATTCATTACAATCATAATAAAGGATTATTTAGTATACTAAATCAATGGTTATGGAATTTACAGTGACAACAGATTTTTAGGGGTCCATAAGCTTCTTCCTAATTTATTGAAAGTACTATTCATAATTACTCTGTACCATAAAACATTAATAATTTAATCATAACATCTCAGTTTATTTAAATGTATAAATGTTTTTAAAATGTGCAGATGGCACTTATTTCTGAAAATCTATTATTGATTAGCCAATTTTAGAGTAGACATTTAATAATTCACTTTTAATCCAACAGGTGTGAAAGTGATTTTGACTTTAGATTAGTCAGATTCCCTCTTCCCAAAAAGATTTAGGTTGAAGATTAGAGTGAAACTATTTTCAGTAAAAATGACATCTGGAAATGCTTCTTCACCTTGGCTGTAGAAAGAAAGAATATAATTATTTAAATCACTTCAAGTTGCAGCATATATGCTAAAGAGAATTGTATCAACAGAATAAAAAATTTGATTGAAAAATGTTCATTTCTTATTATTTGAATAAAAGTATAAATGCACTTATTTCTGCATTTTTATAATCCAGTATCTAAACAAAATACCTCATCACTGGCATGCTATAAGCACGGATGTTGAGAAGAGTTGACAAGTGAGGAGTTGGGCAAACATCACTCTCATAATTACCTTACTGTCCAGACAGCTGTAATAATGGATAGTTATCACCCCAATTGAAATACTTCCTGTCAAATGTCTTATGTTTTGTACATTTCCAAATCTTTTCATCTCTTAACTCTCCTACAAAATTACATCCCCAAAGCCTCTTATCAAAAATCAATGAGAGAAAACATGTAGCATGCAAACTTTTTCAAAGTAAACAAAATTTGGAAACCATATTTCTTTGTAAATATCAAAAAATTAAAATTTGGAACAACTACTCAAAAATTATCTTATTTCGCATAAATGAATTAAACAAATTCTTTGAATGATCAATTTTGAATTTTTAAAAAGCTTTAGATAAAAGGGAAAAATACAGATAAGAGACAATATCCAGAATTATTTTCAGTAAACTATTCCTTGAAGTATGTGATGTAGATTACTTGACTTGAAAATCAGCATTTGAAATTGTGGTATTTTGACCCGTGGCACTAGAGTGAAATAGAGAAAATGGAACAGTATTTTTTTTTCTTCTTTCATTCACGCATATGTGCTTGGGCAGAATATTACAAGCAGAAGAAATTCTACAAAATGGAGAAGTGTTTAAAAGAAAAAAAAAAAAAAAAATGAAAATAACAAAAGTGATTTTTTGTTTTTGTTTTACGCTGGCAAATATGTAATTATTTGTAGATTTTTTGTAATATGTTTAAATTTTGATTCTGAGATTAATCAAGAGATGATTTTGTTGACGCCAAACTCGTCTTAAGGAAGTAAGATTTATACATATGCTGTATTTTCCCTACAGGTGATGTTGAGTGCTCAGCAGGTACAAGTAAGCACTTTCCCTACAGATGATACGGAGTGCTCAGCCAGTACAGGAAAGCATTTCTTCTACAGGCATTGAGTGCTCAACAGGTACAAGTAAGCACTTTCCCTACAGGTGATATGGAGTGCTCAGCCAGTACAGGAAAGCATTTCTTCTACAGGCTCAACAGGTGCTCAACAGGTATGAATAAATATTTTCTCTACAAGAGATTATCATACCTGCTGAGTACACAGTATAGACCATGTTTCCATTTCACTTTTGGATTACTTTTTCTGAAGCACTGATGATCAAAGTAAAATGCCTAATGCAAAATAAGGAAAAACAATTGCTTATAGTCTGTGTGCAAAAAAAAAAATAATGGCTATATGAGCAGGTAGCACACAAATGGAGGGTGGGGTTGGTGGATCCAAACCTTCTGGACTACAGACAGCTAACGATGAGTCACCAGTTTTCATTGCTATGATACAAGCGCATACGAGAAGGAGGACGAGCAGTAGAGAGAGAGCAGTGAAGAGGTAGACTTTAATCATAGGATTGGAATTAGTCTTCAGAACCGTCTAGAAATAGAGAAATAAATGGAGCAAATATGTAAATTTCTTTGTTTTTATGACGTGAGGGTTGGGTTTTTTTTTTGTTTTTTTTTTAGTGGAAGGTGGGGTCAGAAAGATATATTTTTTTAATATTCAATTTTTGGAAACTGCATTTAATAAAAGCTTTTTTTTTTCTTTTTTTTTTAAACAATTTTTTTTTTAAATGTCACTATTTCAAAACTGACAAAGATTCGATATTTATATTGTGAAAAATTATTCCAAACTGGAAATTCAAGTTCCAAAATTTTTTTCTTCTTTCTTTCAATCTCTGTTTTCTTTTTTGCAGCTTCTTTTAAAATGTGACAATGATAATTAGTGGAATGAAAAGACTGAACTCTCTTCCCATTCAAACAAGAATTTAACAAAATTAAAATTCACTAATAAAATTTGCAGGCATTTGATTAATAAACACAAGGATGTGGTGAATGTTATTATAAAATCCAATCTTTAACTCATCAACTGCAAATGATTCAAATTGTAGCCATAGTTAATGGATTAACTTGTTCAGTACTCAATAGATCTACATCCTTATAAAATTGTAGAATCTTTTGAACTTTCACATCTCTAACATCATTTTTCTATAGTGATGCAATATATATATATATATATATATATATATATATATATATATATATATATATATCTCCAATATCCTTATATTTTTTACATATAATAATAGAATGACCATGTTATACTCTGAAACCCATAGATTCTCACTTGATGATCTGAGAATTTATCAGCTAAAATGAATTTTGCATTTTTGTAGACAATGCATTATCCAATTTGATAGTATTTTTCTCAGTTTAAAAATATCTTTTACTATAATAGTTTCCTGGCAAATTTGATTTCTTTTTTATAGTTTGAATGCTACATATTACAATTCATAATTTCTTCAAGTCTGGTGGTGAAATTTGAATCTGAAAATATTCCACAAGACTGAATTTAATAAAAAATTCCTTAACTCAAAGTTTCACACCAGGATGGCAATGGTTTCCCTCTTTTTTTCTTTAAAGGTATGTAAATGTAGTTTTCTTTTACTTACTAAGATCAAGCAATGTTATTGAAATTCAAGGCAATGTCTCCTTTCATCAAATGATCAAATATTCTAATTAGCCAGAGAAACAAAACACAAGGTATGGTAGAGCAAAAGTGAAACAAACCTCCTCTTTTTTATCTTCATCTGTTTTGTAGATCTCTGGATCAGTGCTGTCATATTTCTTAGGTTTGGGTGCTTCTGATGGTGCATTGCTTACTGTAAAAGTTACATGTTAAAGTTTTTTTTTTCTCTTTTTTCAATCAAAGAAGTAAATAATTGTAAATGTATATAAAAAGATTATTGAAAACAAAAGATGCATTATTCTTAATTTGTATAAAGAATAATATATCTAATATTTGTATTTCTTAATTTTTCAAAACATTTACAGGCTTATTATTGTATTAAAACCAAAAAGGAGATATTATTCCATTATTCCTCTTTTATAAAAACACAAATGACATCATGAACAAAAATATGAGTTTACAGTTTTTTTCTAAATTGTTAGTTAACTATTATTATTATCATTATTATTAATAATATCTTGAATGTTATTATTAGATGAAATTTGTCAATTATAAATTTTTGACTAAAAATTCTTTCATCTTTGTTTCAGTTGCTTTTTATCATAATTATTCAGATTGTCAGTCTATTTATATTATTAAACAGCTGTTTAGATATAAATCCATGTTGTTTGTTAATGGCCACAGAAGTGTATTTACAATCAAACATAACAATACCAACAGGCCATAGAGGGGTATATGCTATTGAATCAGCCAAGGCAATATGGTAGCTTCCATGTAATGGCAGCATGCTTTAAAATGAGCAGGTTTTTTTTCTATCAATAACTGATCAAATTTAAATTCCATGACAACCAAAAATAGACTTATGAAATGCCTTGTTGGACAATGACAAGTTTGAAGGGCAAGGGTGGATAGATGAATTAAATTCCAATGATAATTTTGCCTACTGCCAGTGCTGTTGATAAACAAACACTGTTAATATATTTACAATATAAAAAGGTATTTATAAATAAGTAAAAAAAAAAAATACATCTACCATATAAACTGAGCATAATCATACAAGAATATATGACAAGGTTAACTTATGCAGACAAGAAAATAAGAAAGGGTTTAACTTATGCAGACAGCTCATTAATTGAATTTAAATTTGAGTTACCTAAAAACTGGTCAAATTTAAAAATAAATTAACTCTGCATAGGATTAATAAAATGATTGCTATTATTACTACTACTAATAAAAAAAATTAAAAAATGAATTATCTGCTCCAACATGAAATTAAGTTTACTTAACAAGTTTTATTGTTTACAGTTTTATATCAGCAGCGGTCTGGAGAATGTAAGTGGTATTTTTTAAAACCTTTCCCTAATCGAGGAACATGAAAATGAGATATAATTATTGGGATGTGTCTGAAGGAAATTGGGAGAGTGAACTCATGGGAGGTGGGGTAAAAGTAGTTTGAATTTTTTAACTACATAGTGAGTAGGACATTTGCAATTGTAATACTACTACTTGTTTAAGGACAAACACTTAGAAAGCAACATAATGAATCTAATTTCTGATAAAGCAAATTTTGGCCTTGTTAAAGAACTCTTTGATTTTCTAGGGTCTTAAGTTTTAGAAGCACATTGTATAAAAGTATATCATATGTTTTTCATGCTAGGTAGCTACAAAAAATTATTTAACTTGTCATGACTGAAGTATAGGGATACAAAAGGCGATTATCTCCCTTTGGAAAAGATGACTTCATGAGCATCATGTGATGGCTGGTGAGTGACGTCTCTTCATAGGTGTGACTAACCCCAGTTACTATACAGACCGGGGAGAAGCAAGATATAACTGCTCACAGCAGTTAAGAGAACAGAGAAAATCACATGGTCTCACCAGGTACATTGAGGACACCACCTAGTTTGGCCATTTTCACTTCAGGGAATATTACTATAATATTAATATATTCATATATCTTGTTGTATTCATATGTGTTATAATTTCTCTGAGTGACAGATATATTTGTATATGATTTTTTTTGGATAACAATGCATTATAAAAACATATCTGAGAACAATGCATGTTTGTCATTCCTTTCTTTCAGATATTCTGTTCCGTCCATTGTATTAAGGTGTTAGTATATTACAGATACACTAATGTCTATAATGGGTCATTGTAGACCGGAAATCTCTTTCCTAGTCATCCACCATTAGAAGTATCTTTATGCAACATCAAATTAGTGAAATCACTGCAAGACAATTTTCTTTACTGTCCATGAATTGTACCGAATTATTCTTTTGTACCAAATACCAAAACTGCTATCTAGAATAGTGATTCTGGTGAGAATTTTTCAACTGATAAAAATAAGCTTGGTGTTTCAAATAACCATTAAACCAGGAATTTTTATATAACTTTAATAAACATGTCAGTTTGGATAATAGTGTCAGGAAATGTTTTGAAAAATAATAAGTGCGTTGTACCAAATAAAGGAAATAGTTAACTTGTTTTAGTAGATTATTTGGTACACTAGTGTATTATCCAATTCAGTCTCAGAAGAAAGAGAACTCACTTGAAAGGTATCAGTAAAAAAGTTTTAGTAAATCATTTTTAAACCTAATAACAATATTTACAGATAACAAAATCATGATATTTCAAATAAATTTAAATACTTAATTTTTTGTTTAATTAATGCAATCAATATGATTATATTTTGTTCTCTTTCATATCTAAGCTCCTGCTCTATATTTAGAGATTCTTGATAAAATCCAAAGAAGAATCTGCAATGTTATTGGTCCTGACTTGGCATCTCAGCTTTAGTCACTTTCCCAAAACTGTAATGTAGCTTCACTGTGCATTTTCTATAAATACTTTCATGGTAGTTATTCTTATGAGCTTTCTTCCATGGTACTTAGACTTTATGAATTTAAGTGCAGTACTAGATTGGTGTCAGTACTAAATGGTGCAGTACTAGATTGAAGTGGCTAGATGTAACCATAAGTTCAAATGCTAACAATTTCTTTTCTCACACTTCTCACTTGTGGGTATCTCTTCTGTCTTCTTGCTTCCCAGTCAATTTTGATATTGCATTTAAATTTTTGAAGATCAATCATTATCTTCTGTCTGTCTTCTTTTATTGTTCTCTCTCTGTTTCCTCACCCTCCCCTTAGCAGTGTTTTCTTTTACTCATATTCTCTCACACCCAGTAACCTCCTTGAATCTTAGTGGCTTTATTGCCTTGCTTGGTGTGAAATGATTATTTTAAAATAAGTAAGTGTATGGGATAATTTTTGTAAAGACAGATGTGCTTTTAACAAAACTGATTAAAATTTAAATGCTATTAATAGTATAGAACAAGGTTTTCCTTTTTTAAATCTCATGACGTTCTATCAGCAAATGACCACACAAGATATGAAATCAATCCTTACCAAATTGATATTTAAAATTATTTTTCAATTAAAGCATAATTTCTGCACATGTATAGATAAAATTAAAATTTCCAGACATTTAAGTAATTCACAGATGTTTTTCTTTTTACAAGTACTTAATTGAATACTAGAATCAAAATCATATCAATTTGCATTCCAACTAATTGCAATAATACCAAAAGCCTGTAGAGACCAAACAAAATGTTACAGAAATGCAGGAATCAATAAATCATTTCTAAAATTTAGATATATTACAAATGATTATGATACTTACAGGCCTCCATATCATCTGGTTTGAGAGAAATGGTTGGAGGAACAGTATCATTACCTTCTAACCATTCAGAACCACTTAATGTTGGTTCCCATAACACCTTGGTGTCTGGAAACAGATCATCTTGGAAGAAGTTACTCTGGTAAATAACAAAGCAAAAATATCTTGTAAGAAATCCTTTTTACTTTTATTTTTTTTTTTAAATGAGAATTATATTCTAAGTATTTTGCCCTAAAATAGACAATTTGAAAATTTATCATTTTTGCAAATGATATCAAATAAATTTGTTTATATTTATGATAAAATTATATTGGGTTTGATATTAATTCATATTTTAATGTGACTGCATAAGTGTGTGTGAAGCTATGGAATAACTGCATGGGTTATTAGGATATTTTAGGTTTCATTTGAATTTAAAACTAAATCAAATATAGTGAATAATGAAAATCAATTACAAGTTTTAAATAATTCAAATTCTGCAAGAAGAATCTTTCATTGAAGAGAAATATAATTCTTTTTAAATATATGCAAAATTTTCATAAAAATCTTAGTGCAACATTGTCATCATAGAGACTAATAAAAATACAAGACTAAATCTTTCATAGATAACATTAAATTTTATTCAACTCTGGACTTTGTTGGCCAGTGGATGTGTTACCTTAGGGTTTTCTCTAAGCATGGATTCTACGTTTCCTAAGGATGTGAGCGACTCATCTTTTTCCTCCCTTTTCAGGTGGGTGTTTATAAATGTATATGTCATGCAACTTTCCCACCCCCAACATGTGTATCCAAGTGTAATATAGCAACAACCCAAAGTTTATGAAGCTTTATTTGACTAATTCAGCTTTATTGCTGAAAATATTTATTTTATTATAGTGGATGGTTACAAGCAAGAGGGGAGATGGGATGTGCTTATTTTATTGGAAATGGGGCATTCTGGCGTAGCCCATTTGCTGTTGCTGATTTGGCAGAGCCGATTCAACAAAGGAATTTTTTAGCAGAGGTATGATTAGGCATCAGATTACTACTTCATCATTATAGTTAAATTTTCTCTCTCTCTCTCATTTAGTAGTCAAATTAGTACTTTGTTGTTGTTATATGCTCGAATAGTCCAATTTAAGAAAAGGAGTGGTTCAGGCATTTTTAAATCATTAAATTTCTTGAAAAGTTAATCGCAGGATATCCACCCTCTAAAAAGCTAGAAAAATATAGAGATGCTGACGAACAAATCAAAAAAGTTATAATGGAAATTGAATCATTAGATCCTATTGAATTCCTGAAGGGTGTTGCTCATAGTTACGAAATGAAGAAGTAATTTCTATGTATCTGTCTATATTTCTGAGATGAGGTATCATGTCCATTATTTACCTTATTCGGACTATTGTCCTCATCTTTGTCGCCATATTTATTACAACGTTTTGGCCGTTGTACGCTATGGCTTTCTTCAGGTGGTTGGAATGTCAAACTGAACCCTTTATTTCGCTCATTGGGGTAGACAGATAACTGACATCCATTAAACATGGCACGTGGAACTAGAACAGTCTACCCCAGTGAGCACAATAAAGGGATCAGTTCAACATTCCAACTACCTGAAGATGGTCGGAGCATACAACGGCCGAAACGTTATAATAAATATGGCGACAAAGATGAGGACAATAGTCCGAATAATGTAAATAATATAATTTCTAAGATTAAATAGCTTTACTAAGTTTTTTTTATTTTTTTCGAAATACAATATTTTTATGTTTTTAATTTACATTATTCCATTAGTGTTTTAATAAGATCCTTAATTCCCTAAATGAATAAAAAGTCATATTAAAAGTTGAGTGTTTTCAAAGCTTTTATCCTTTTGAGGATGGGGTTGCCTCTAGTCAAAGACGGTGACATCGAAAATAGTCTGACGCCTAAATCACTGTGCTGAATAGTCCAATTATTTTGCTGAATTAGTGTATTAACTGTAATTTCTTTTCACTTAAAGTAAGTCAGTTTATAAGCAGGAAATTGACAGGAGGTGCACCTGGTGGTTAGGAAATTATCTTTCAGGTCAACCCACCTGGCTTCTTTGATGGTCTAGTGTAACAGTGAGTACAAAGTCTATTTTGGCATCATTTGTGGTGAGCCCACTACATATGGGAGTCATCACAGATCAATCTCTCTCATAAAAAAAAAAAAAAGGTTCCTCATTGATGTTAAATTTGATTTGGACTATCTGATATTTCCTGTCATGAATCACATGCTACAATCAAAACTGTGTTTATTTATATATTTTTTCTTAGTGTTTTAACTGAAATTTCTTTTCAATTAAAGAAAGTCAATTTGCAAAGGACACTGCTACAATACAAAATAACTTTTTAAAGTAAACAACATAAAATTTTACCTTGACACGAGGGACTGTGAAAGACACGGGCTCTACATGAGTTGGCGTCAACCTCCATGCTCTGGCAAACTCTACTTCACTAATATTGCATACAATCTTTGGGAGGAATGAAATAGCCTGGTGCAGACTGTCGAAACGGCAATGGCTTAGAGCATTTATATGTGATGGTGTAGAGGACATTTCATATGCAAACAAGGTTCCATCTCCCTGTATAGTGTTTAAAAAATAAAATAAAAACTGATTACACATTTGAGGAAATAATGAAGTTTAAAAAAATTATCAGTTTTTGTTGCTTTTTAAAAATCAAGATTTTTTTCCCCTTCATCACTCTCATTCTTTGCTCACTCCCTCTGTCTTCCTGTTTTCAATCTCCTCTCTTTTCAGTCTCCTCTTTCTACGCTCTCTTTTCAGTCTCCTCTTTCTACGCTCTCTTTTCAGTCTCCTCTTTCTACGCTCTCTTTTCAGTCTCCTCTTTCTACGCTCTCTTTTCAGTCTCCTCTTTCTACGCTCTCTTTTCACTCTCCTCTTTCTACGCTCTCTTTTCACTCTCCTCTTTCTACGCTCTTTTCTCTACATTACTAGCTGCATCTTCATGTGCAAAATCTTCAGATGTATATATATGCATAATAAAATTGCATTTCTCATGAATAAACTTTGAGACATATCTTGCTTCTGAGATGACATTCTTTAAAGATTTAACAACAGAAATAAACAATATTGTAAAATAGTTACATATTAATATATATATATATATATATATATATATATATATATATATATACAAAAGTAGAATATGTACCCAACTGACAAAAATGATTGCTTTGTATTTTCTTCAACAAAAAATAAGATACTGCATAAACAGAAGAGATTTTCTATGATAACTTCCTTCCAGAAAAGTAAACAATTCATTCAAACAAATAAAATGGCCAATTAAACCAACTAAATGCAGCAATCAAAAAGATGTGTCCAGAATTTGTCAAGAAAAATGTCATAATATTCCATCAGAATAGAGCATTATACAACATCTTTCATTTATAGTTTGGCTGACAAGGTTTCATTCATTTGCTGTATTCACCAGATTACCTTTTCGTGTTTTTGCCCTTAATCAAAATAAAAGTTAATTTCCCATAAGGCTGCAAAAATGCACTGAAAGTAGTTATTTGCTATGAAAAAAAAAAAAAAAAAAAAAGAGGTTGACATTATGAAAATGCCAGGAAGATGTTAAAAATAGTGGAACCAAATTCTAAATATATTGTTCAATCAATTTAATATTGAATTAAAAAAATATTTTTATTTAATAAACCTAACAAGTTTTTTAATCTCTCTCACCCTGCCGTGTTTTTCCACAGCTTATCTTTTTATTTTTGCATGAAGTAAGTATTGCTTCTTTACCGTCTTTGCCTTTGTGTAAATGGATGGCAGAACATATATGACAATCTCATTAAGTAGATTAACTATTCTTACTTTTCTTGCCTTCAACTATGTCCTAGGAGCTTGAAATTTTTAACGTATTCTTGTTACTGAGAGCATTTTCCAATCCTTTAACACTTTGCTCAGTAATGGTAACTTTTACTATTTCTATGTGCCTTCAGATTTTTACGTCCTAGATTTGTCCTCAGTTCCTACTCTACAAAGAAATATTTTCACACTAGCTTGATTTTTAGGTTCCTGATATGTAAATCACACAAAAATGATGATGATTATGAAGAAAGCTGAAAAATATTTACCCTTCCTGTCATAAACAATGTTGAGCTGTCTTCATCATAGTGTGGGATCAAAATAGCAGGGGATACGTCAACGTCAGCCGTCTCAATTGGGCTGCTTAAGTCCTGCGGGTTGTAGATGGAGATTTGACGGTTGCTCATTCTGTAGAATAATTAAATAGATATCAGACATGGGGAGGGAATCTAAAAATACACACACACACACACCACAAAAAATTATTTAAATTTCTGTTGTACCTTTTTCATCAAGACTTTTGCAGATTTATAATATTTAGATTAAAATCGGTTACCATGTTGGCACGATTAAATTATTTCTTATTATTTCCTCCTTGGCATGATGCTTATTTGATATGGCATGCTTATTTTTCCAAATATTTTCCATTTATTAATGTAAAAGAATTGTGTCATAATGAATGCTAGCTGCCTTATCCATAATTTGTAATGGATGGTGAAAAAACAGGGAATTGTGGGTAGAAAAGTGGCGATATGTGTCAATGAGAAATCAGTTGGCAGTGAGGTTTGGTTGAGTATCAAGCAACTTGACAGACAGATGAACGAAGCACAGTGAAATAGGAAAAATGAAGGAAAGCAAAAATCATGCAAGAAAGGAAGAAAAACAAATTATTTTGCCCCCTAAAACTACAAGCTATGCAACATGATGGAGTTAGATGCCACAATAAAGGGCGTTAATCTAGCTCTGAAATGAAGACTAAAAGATGAGGAAATCAGGATCAATGATTCAATGATTACAGAAAAAAAGAAGGTCTGGACAAAGGGTGCTGCAGAAATGATTATTCAGCAATGGTTTGGGATAACAGTGGGGAAGAGGGATGATAACCAGGTTAGATTCATCAAATAGCATATCAGTGAATGGTGTACCACTACATGTCCTGTATTAGGCTTGTCAGAAGATGAGGAATGCACTGAACCACGAGCCCCAAGTCAAACAAGTGCAAAGATCACAAAGAGAGAATCGACTACCTTTTTATCTTGTGACTGCATAATGACAAAGTGATCCAGGAGATCAGTGGGGCATGTAAAAGAATTGTGTCGTAATTGATGCTATTTGCTTTACCTATAATTATAATGGATGGTGAAAAAAAACAGGGAATTGTGGGTAGAAAAGTGGCTATATGAGTTAATGAGAAATCAATTGTTGGTGAGGTTTGATCGAGTGTCAAACAATTTGATAGACAAACAAAGCACAGTAAAAGAGGGTGAAAGAAGGAAAGCAAGAAGCATGGGAAAAAGGAAGAAAAAAAAAATTGTTTTGCCCCCTAAAACTACAATTAAACTAATAGTAAAATTCCAGAAAGCACTTGTATTTAGTATCAAAGAGAATTACTGACAGAATAGGTACCACACGAGAGCAAAAGTAACCTAAACAGTCTTGTTAATCATAATTACTGTATTGAGTTTAGTCACCAGTGGTTGCTTCAACACTTGTGCCAGACTAATTAGGCTTAGTATATATATATATATATATATATATATATATATATATATATATATATATATATATATATATAGCTATCAATTACTTTCCCCGACCAAAATAAATTATTAAATAAAAGATCTGAGCTCATCTCAAAATGCAGGCATGAAAATAAATTTTTACTACGTAACCTAAAAAATGAAAAACGGAAAAAATAAAATAAAAACAAATACACTAATAAAAAAAAAAAAATAAATAAAATAAAATTAAAATAAAATAAATAAATACTATGTTGCTTAAAAACTGAAAAGAGAAAATATACAAATAAATTGACCTAAATTCATCCAATAGACAAACCAATCCCAAATTAAAAACTGTTCCCGCCAAAAAAATAATAGTTAGAATGAACTACAACAACCAACCCCAAAATTGAACAAATAGCTTTAATTAAATTCTCAAACCAAAACTAAACTGTTAAATACGTGATATAAACAAATTTTTACTACGTTAATAAATAAATAAATAAAATAAGAAACAAAAAAATAAAAACGAGCAATATAATTTGACCCAAATAAATAAACAAAGCGACTTCCGGTAAAAAAATAACCGCCATAATAGAATACCCACAATGCACCACTAACCCGTATATATATAAATAGCCGAGAAAAATAACAGCATATGTGGCCTGATGATTGCATATAGCATGAAACAGACTGTCGCCTCTAAGTGTTGACTTCTATGTTCACTTTTATATTTACACACGCTCTATCTCTGATATTGAGCACTTTATCCCATAAATATAGCACACCTTAAGACTATATTTCTTTTTATATATATATATATATATATATATATAGGATACATGGAATGCAAGTTACAATTGGATTACAGAAGAAATGTAGATGATTCAACTGTGTACATAGCATGGCCTATCCTAGCAGTAAAGTTCTGAACTAGTAGAACTAAAGAGTGAAACTTATCTGAACATCTGCCATAGAAGTAGCAATAGTCAGGCAACTTTGCATCTGTGGAAAAAGAGGCTGTAGAATGGAAAATAAGTGTAAACAATTTTGAATTCTGTCAAGTGAGGATTGAGCAGGAATGGCAGCAATACTCCATTTTTGATCTAATCAGACTCTTGTAAAGATAAACCATGGCAAATTAAGCGGAACATTTTCCAGCATCTGGACAGTTCCACTTGAGATCTGGGGTGAAATTGAAACCAAATAGTCATTCAAGGCCTTTCTGTGAATGCAATTGTTCATTGTGACTGGAGAAAACTCAGGGTCTGCTTAGTGATGATCTTTATTTCAATGACTCATACTGCTGACTCATAGAAATGATTTCAGCAATGTGGTGGAAGAAATAATTTATTGTAACTATTTACACTACTTAAATTGTTCAGACTGTTGTCCTTATCTTTATTGCCATATTTACTGTTTCGGCTATTGCTCCAGCCTTCTTCAGATGATATACATTGAAATTTCAGACCAAACCCTTTATTTAGTCCACTGGGGTAGATTGTTTTAATTTCATGTGCCATGACTTTTCTGGATATCCCAGTTTCAGTTATCTCCCTTTAGTAACTCAGCTCTCCAAGTTTTTGTTCACCTTTGCTGTGGCCAGGTATTGAACTCACAACTCAATGTTGTCAAGTCACTTTTTGGATTACTTCAACCAACGCTTTTATCCACTGGGCCATGTGCATCACCTGAAGAAGGTTGAAGCATATAATAGCCAAAACGTTGTGAATATGGCAATAAAGATGAAGACAACAATCTGAATGATGTAAATAGTGTAAGAAATGATTTCTTTAATGGCATATCAACTTCTTATGAGTCATTTAATATCAAAATTTAAGTTTCTTGGGAGCTTTGAAGTAATAAAAATATGATATATGTTATTCTGCTTTCACAATTGAATACATGGTAGATGATACTATGCTTTTGTGCATATGCACCTTTGTGTGGACATGATTATTAGAGGCAGTGAGATGTGAGTTTTACATTTTTTGGAATACAGTTTGATATGGTGGAAGAAAAACTCATCAAAAGATTATTAATATTAGAAAGCATTTTGACCATAACAAATTTTATAATTATGTATATTAATGTTGTTTTGGTGCAGATACCTTTTACAAATATATGTTATATTATCAATTTTTGTTTGTTATTTTTTTGTGTAATGGTATATCAACCTCTATAGATTGGCTTAGTGCCAAATCCTTTATTTAGTATAATTTGTAAGAAAGTTTGTAGTTAAATTCTTTAGAGATGAGGTTTTGGTTAAACAAGTGCTAAAGAAAAAAAAAATTATTATTTTTTTTTTATTGTGAGAGCTGCAATTGTTTATAAAGTTAAGGATGTTATTTTGCATTGGTTTTTCTAAAAAGACAAATTTTGGTTGATAATGAAAGTCTCTTGGTGTCTCAAATGGGGGAAACAGAAACATGCTTGAACATGCATTCAGTAGTATGTGTGTGAGTGATGATGTATGTGTGTGTGTATATATATATATGTATAATATATAATATATATATGGGATAATGGTATATAAATTTTTATATATCAAGAACAATTTTGGAAGAAAGCTGTATGACAAAGTGGTGCACTTTGTCCTTTAAGTTTGTTTATGTTGGTGCAAATGAGAGACACTGAAAATTTTAATTTTTTTTGCATTAGGGAGAGGCATATAATCTAGCTGCTTTCATTGTGATGAACTGATTGTTCCAAGAAGAGGAGTTGAAAATTTTGTTATGGCTTTCACTAGTTTGTGGGGAGCACTGTCTATTCCCAAGATTGGAATGCCTGTTTTGTAGGTTTTAGGGTGACTGAATGTTTAGGTATTCTAGGGTGATATTCTATATGATTTTTTAATTAGTTTCCTAAAATTTTTGTGTTTCATAATTTCTGTTCATTTATTTTTTCAAAAGTGTTGGTATCGCTGAATAGTGAATTAATTTTTTATCATATGAGTTCTTATTTATGATGATAAACTCACCCTCCTTGTCTGTGGAGGTAATGTAAATTTCCTTATTTTTTGTTAGCAAAAATAAAAAAATCTACATTACAATGTTGATGGAACTAGACAATTTTTTGTACTTACTCACAAATCTAAATGTATAGTGTCTTTTCATAAAAAAAAAGTCTTGTGCTGTGTTTCATCTCTGTGGGAAGATGAATAAATACCTACTTGTCAAAACCTGTAACAGCGAGGAATTTTCCATCTAACACCCAAACAACTCTGGCTCCTCGGCTGCCTGGAGGACCATTGCCTTCCTAAAAAAAAAAAAAAATTCAGCAAATAAGTGTGATAAATCTGTTATTATGTCTTTTGATAAATATCATTCAATAAAATTTAATCTCTCAAATCACAAAATTTCAAGCCAATAAAATTATTTTGTTCTATAAGTAGATTTTCCAAATTCAAAAATTTTAATAATTGGAAAAAATTTTTTAAGAAAGACTAAAATTGCTTATCTTATATATAAAATACAGTGTATGTGCATGTGTGTGTCCAAGCAACTCCTTTGCTCAGACTGGTTCAATTTCAATGATTCATAGTTCATTCAAAAGCCCTAAAAAAGTTAGGTGCAGGGAATAATTCTCAATGAGCTCAGATTCAGAGTATCCAGGCTAAAATATATATATATTAGTATATTATACTAGCCATTATCGTTGCTTTCAGATTCAAGAGGAATAACTCTTATTTTCCTTTTGTATCCAAAATTACAGCTAGCTTAAAAGCCACCCTATTAGGTGGCATTTAAGCTAGCTCCTGTGGAGGACTCCTGGTTTGGCCATCATCACAATAGCTAGTGGGGAGTAGATGCAATAGGCAGCAATAAACTCCAGAAGAGCTCAAAAGTGATCGCTGCATTTAAGTATTGAATTAATGTTCAAGATTACCTCTTTAAGTTCAATGATAATTCTTCTGCTGCCATTTAATTTAAGGATGATTTGATGTATGTAGATTCTTATTTTCCATACAAACAATTATTTTTATTTCATGGGTGACAGAACAGGGGACAATTTAGAAGATAAAATTAATATAGTGTAAAGATGGGAAAATAGAAATTAGAATTAGTTATACATTCAATATTTGAAGAGATAAACAAACATAATAGCTAAGTAAGTACAACCTATATTATGGAATCTATATGAATAAATGCAAAATTGGATATCAATTCTCCCATGAATTCCAAGATTAAAAACCCCAGATCTACTTTATAGTAATTTGGTATCGATGACGTTGCCTCTGAGTGCACACTGCTCAAAGACAGAGACACAATTGAAAGATGATAAATAAATGTATTACAAACTACTTTAGAGTAATTTGTATTTATTCAACCCCCATGAAGTCAGGTTGTGACACAAGGTCAATTTAATATGGGGAGCTCAAGTGTGTACACCTGGGCTAGGAACAAAAATACAATGAGAGGGCGCAGCCTTCAGCAGCTGTTCCCCAGGGCTGGGCACCTCTCAGTATAATTTTCTCAGTTGCCCCTCTGTCCTTTGACAGAGAAGCCCCTGAGTGCACTCTGTCCAAAGACAAAGACGCAACTGAGAGATGATAAGCCATGCGTCAGAAATCCCTCCAAGGAGGAATTTACACAGTATTTACTTCACCTCCCTACTGATTCAGGTTGTGACACAAGGTCAGTTTTTAAGGTGTGGACCTGAGTATTTTCACTCAAGCTGCTGGTCTATGCTGGTCTTAGCTTGTCCAAGCTGGTCAAAGCTAGTCAGAGCCAGTCCAAGCCAGTCATAGCCATGATACCACCAGCACAGGGACGGAGCCCTGTGACTCGTAAGTATCCGAGTGTGTACACCCCTCCAAGGAGGAATTTACCTTAATTTATCTTACTTTGTGAAGCGATAGCAAGCAGTCGAAGCCTGCTAGTTCTTAATATTTTAATAAGGTGGATTTGTGTAGTCAGGATATGTGTTTGTATGATATATAATAATATCCGAAATAAAAATGGAGAAGAGAAACAAACAGAAAAAAAAAATTTTCTGGTTTCATATTTTCAGGAAATTTAATTTATGGCTCCTTTTGTCCTCAAAAACCCAAAACATTTTCCTTACTTTCATTCCAATGTGAAGGAACCCAAATGAAGATTTTCAGCGAAACATGTAATTTATAGCTTTTCCACTTTGTTTTATTATCTCCATTTGTGTAGTCTATAAATATAGACTAATGGACACATGGCTGCGGGGTTAGAATGTTCACTTTTCGACCAGGAGATCCAAGTTTGAATCATCATGTTCAATTTATCAGAAAGGTAACTCCTTGACATTATCGACCTAGGGAAGCAATTCCAGCATTCAGCTCCTTTGGAAAGTGCCTGAAAAACATACCATGATTGATGCAAGCCATATGAGTGAAATTGGCCTTGTTTAGACTATTGATCACCCCAAATAATGTGCTCTCTCCCAGAAACTAAGGTCCACTCAGCAGAGTTGCAGTACAAGCAACATGTGGGCTCTGTGGGTGTTAAACGAACACAAATGTGCCCAAGCAGGCATCTGCAATAGGGATTGGCTAGTCACCCTAGCGAGCAGGCATACTTAGATGTAAATGACCAGCCATTACTTAGTACTTAAATATAGACTATAAATTCAGTCTTGAGTTTTCAAAATAGAAAAATGTTTTTAGCGAAAATGTTGGAAACTTTTGCACATGCCTAATATTTCATTTGTTTAAATATATATTTTTTCTTTAATGAATAGAACAAAAAAAGAAGAAAATGATTTACCTGCACTGGTTCAGTTGATGTTCTTGGATCATAAATTCTTATTTTACCATCTTTACAGACTGTAGCACATTGCTTCCCATCAGGACTCCAAGCCAGGGTGAAAATCTAAAAGCACAAAAATAAAAAAACTTTAGATATAATCCATTCTAAGTCATTTGATGTTTCATAAATTTTAATTGTCAACAGGACTCATTAAAATATGATGATTAAAATTTATATATTATAGTCCCCTCCAAAAGTACTGGAACAGCAAGGTCAAGTCCTCTGTTTTTGTTGTTCACTGAAGACATTTGGGCTTAAGATCAAAAGATGAATATAAGACAAGAGTTCAGAATTTCAGCTCTTACTTCCTGGTATTTAAATTTATATGTGTGAAACAACTTAGGACATACCACCTTTTGTTTGAACCCACCCATTTTTCAAGTAAGCAAACTATTGAAACATGTGACTGACAGGTGTTTCTTGTTCTCCAGGTGTTACCTTTTAGATTGATTGTTTAAACATTAAACAGCTCTGAATGACCACTCTTGTTTTTAGCTTTGGGTTTCACCTGTAAATACTGTATTTTTTGTTAAAAAGGATAAACCAATATGAAGATGAGAGAACTGTCTATGGGAGAAAAGCAAACTGAGAAAAGAAGGAAAATTGATCAGAGCCATCAGACAAACTTTGGGCATAGCCAACACAACAATTTGGAATGTCCTACTGGTGTACTGAACAACATACATAAAACAGGTTGGCCAAGGAAAACAACATCAGTTGATGACAGAAACCTTGTGAGTGCTCTGAGGAAAAATCTCAAAACAACAGTCAGTGACATTATCAACAACCTTCCGATGGCCAGATTGGAAGTTGCAAGGAAGTAAAGAGATGAGCGATAAAAGTTCTGGAAGAAAGTTTTATGGACAGATGAAACCAAGATTAATCTCTATCAAAGTGATGGAAAGGCCAAAGTTTGGAGAAAGAAAGAATCTGCATATGATCCAAAGCTCATCTGTGAAGCATGGCTTGGGCTTGCATGGCTGCTTCTGGAACAGGCTCAGTCATATTTATTGATAATGTAAGAATTTTGTAGAATCCAAATGAATTCAGAAGTCTACAGAAACACCATGTCTGCCAAATGAAATGCATCCAAACTAATTGGGAAGAAGTTTATCATGCAGCTGGACAATGATCCAAAACATCCTGTCATCAGAACAAATGATTTCATCAGTAGAAAAAAAAGTGGAAAATTTTAGACTGGCCAAGTCAGTCACCAGACTTTAACCCAACAGAACACATGCATTTCATCTCCTGAAGAGGAAACTGAAGGAAGAAACCACCTCAAACAAATGAGAAGTAAAAGAGGCGGTGTTAAAAGTCTGGAAAAGCATCACAGATGAAGAATGCAACAGTTTTGGTGATGTCAATGCATCATAAGCTTGATACAATTATTGCAAGCAAGGGTTATGCAACCAAATATTAAATGTTATTGACATTAAAACTATCTGTTCCTTTACTTTTGCATACCTAAAGATGGAGTGATCTGATACAAAAAGTGGTAAGTCCTAAGCTAACACATTTAAATATAAATACCAGGAAATTAAAGCTAAAATTCTGAACTCTTGTCTCATTTTCATCTTTTGATCTTAAATCCAAATATCTTTAGTGAACACCAAAAACAAAGGAATTGACCTTACCATTCCAATACTTTTGGAGGGGACTATATATAATAAAAAAATTAATTTTTAAGTTATGCTATATTTATGGGTAAAAGTGTTCAATATCAGGGATAGAGTGTATGTAAATATAAAAGCGGACACTGATGTCAGTCTGTTTCATGCTTGAATGATGGCCTGAAAATTGTGTTCAAGCATGGAACAGACTGTCACTACTCAGTGTTGACCTTAGTGTCCACTTTTATATTTAATATATAAATACACACACAATATTAATGAGAAAAACTTTAAATATTAAAATTATAAAAAATATTATTAACATTTGTCACATGACGAGTTTCTTAAAAGACTCTTTGTCGCTATTAACATGTGATAATTTAGTGATATGCATTCAATTTGAAACCAATTTTAAGTGAGCAACTTTTTCCCCCCCATTGTAGAAATGCATTTTCTAACCTGAAAATTAAAAATATATATTTGATTAATTTCATTGTTAGTCCTATTTCTTATAGGAATGTGTTGGCTTAGGAATCTGTTTGCTCTTGACACTATGATGACAAATCTAATCTTACTGATTATAACTTTTGCATGACATCTCACAGAACCTTCAGTGCCTGATGTAAAAAGGAGCCTGGGTATATTATTGCCTTGCCTATTATTGCCTTGCATATGCAATTTGTAGATCTGCCAAGAGGAGAATGTGACACAGACAATCACAGGCAGAGATCAAAAAGAAAAGCTACTTAAGCTCCTATTACTCCCCTCTAACTGGCCACACAGCAACATTAAGTGCTGTTTTTTGATGTAATTTTTTAAGGTATAAAGATATTTATCAGCATTTAGAAAGTTATTTGCAAAGGCTCAAGACTTGGTAAATTTTGTTTTAATCTAGAATCTAAAAGGGTTTCAATTTTGAGCAAGCAAAGAAGTATTAAAAATTCAGCTATCAAATTAAAAATAAATGCTGAACATAATTAGAAACTGTTCATTTTAGATTCATGAACAAACCAGGTTTAGTTCTGGTATATATAAATGCATAAACAATTTTTCCCCAAACAACACTAACCTGACTTGTGTGTCCAGTCAGTTCAATGACTTCTTCACCAGTTGCCAAATTCCAAATTTTCACTGTCATATCATACGAGGCAGAAGCAAGGATATCTTTTGCAAGGGGATGGAAATGAACAAAGTATATTTTCTCCCGGTGACCTGCAAATGACAAAATTCAGATCAGATATTTTTGGTAAAAATCATGCTGTAGCAAGAAATATAAACTAAAATAGTATTAGTATAAGAAATATATTATTAACTATTAAACAGTCAATAAAATGCAAATATTATCGCTATTGTCTGAATACCGATTTTATATAATAAACATTCTTGATTTATATGAATCATAAATGACATATCAAATCAATCAGTATCTAATTGCTATCAACATTGAATGGGTTAATTACATGTTAATTATGAAACTACACCCACTATTACTTGGATGTCACTTTTAACTATTTCTGATTGGCAAAGGGCCAGGATGTATAAATTGTTGGTAGTTGAGTGGTGTCAGTAATGATCAATTTGGTGAGTCAAGTCAAAGTTATTGCAAGTGGTAGAGTGAAGAACAAGTTTTCTGGTTCAAGTGATCTAATGTTTTCTTTGTATGAATCAGAGATAAATGCTTACTATAAAACAAGTAGTGTCCTGTCTATATTGAATAGCCTTCCTCTCATCATTATATATATATATATATATATATATATATAAAAACATAAGTTGATCATTAAAAATAATGTTTTTCAACCCATTACCCCCTACATAAGACTATTGTTTTTCATGAAGGGTCTGTAAATAAACAAAATATATTCTATATAGGTTACACAACAACCAACTTTTCATACAGGCTTACATGCCATTTTTGCTTCTACAGCAGCCAGATTTGTGGAAAGTGATTTGAAGTTTGGAAAAGATAATGGATAAATTCAGCAGATTTAGAATGTCTGTCCTTTTTAATAAAACTTGCTTAGAAGAAAAATTTCTGCCTAGAACCTGACAGAGTTAACTCCTCCTTAATTTCCTGATTGTTCACTAGGGCATGCTCTCTCTACACTATAAATACTGGGCAACTTATCGCCTCGTTCTCTCTTTTTACTTTGCATTTCAGCAGACACATTTAAAAATTTGATCTCTTGCAGAGATTTGCATTTTTGCCCACTTGTGGGAAAACGCCATGAAACACAATACATACACATATGTACGAACATTCACCAAAATACAAACTCTTTACGTTCACACACAAACACAAATGTTGATGTCTTTGTCCATTGTAAATTTTGTTATTTTAATACATATACTTGTTTTTGTATATATATATATATATATATATATATATATATATATATATCTCGTTTGTTTTCTTTACATCTTCAGTTGGACTCTAGCAGGAATAAACAGCACGTGTTTCTAATTCAACAACTCGTAAACCCACACAGGTCCACTACAAACCCACTTGAGTCCCAGATGCGATGGGACAGCAGGCAAACCTTAACAAATCCACAGCAAAATTTACTCCCCCATTTTCATGTTCGACCATTCCCTACTCAGTGTCCTGATTGACTCCAAACCAATGACACCCCATGATTTACTGTTCTATAGAATGTTTTTTTGCTATATGAAGGCAGACTGGGGCAACTATATGGATCCTATATGACAGAAGCTCCTCTCCCAAACTTCTTCAAACATTCTGCCCCCCAAACTGCTGCCCTAATCTCCAAATGGATCCTTTCTGGAATGGAGTGTTTTATACTCAACAAAAAATTCCAGCAAAAACCAAACAGTCAGCTCTGGTTTACCTCTGAATGCACTGCAGCCATAACTCACTGGAACTACTATTTCAAAATCTATCAGAAGGAACCATGTAGTCTGGTCCTTACTACTTTCAGAACCTCCCACAATTGTTGTATGAGAGTTCTGGAAAATGCAAAGTGCAGCTATGGATGAGCTGTCCAAGCCAAGTTTGAAATGAAACAAATTGAATCTCATGAATTCTGGAAGATCACCAACCAAATTATGAACAGAGGCAAAGTGGCTGTGCCCACTATTATAAATAGCCCTGAGATCATGTCCTCTTTGATAGACAAGGTGAAGCTCTTTGCCTCAAACTCAACGTTAGATGACAAAGGCTATCCCCTCCCTAACTTCCCATGTCTCACTGAGCACAAGCTCAGTAATATACTCATTTCAGTAAGAGAAGTCCCTAGACTTATCAAAAGCCTTGACGCTAAAAAAGACATTGGTCCAGACAAAATCCCAGTGGTCATTCTCAAGAATATCAACTCAGAATTATTACTGGTCCTAGCAAATTTATTTAAACTTCTGCTTGAAGGAGAAATCTTTCCCAAGCCTATGGAAGGTGGCAAGCAAATGCCTGGTTTTCAAGAACACAGGTAACCAATTCCCTCCCTTTCCCAAATATAGACCCATTAGTCTCCTCAGTAAGCTTTCTGAGGCCTTAATCAACAAGAAGGTTGTCAAACACTTAAATAGGAACAACCTCTCGTGTGTCAAGCAGTATGGGTTTTTAATCAGCTTGATCCACTACTGATGTCCTAAATACCATTACACACAGAATTAGTGAAGCCCTTGGTGACACACACACCACAAGGACCATAACATTAGATATCTCAAAAGCTTTTGACAGGGTGTGGCACAAGGGTTTGCTATGCAAGCTCTCCAGCTATTGAATCACTGAAAGGGTTTTCTTTATTATAAAATCCTTCCTAACAGGTAGATCCCTGAAGGTAGTTATTAACTATGCCCTGATGGTCAATGCAGGCATCCCACAGGGGTCAAGTCTAGAATCAAGTCTCTTTCTGATGTAAATAATCTACCTAAGAATATACTCCAATCATTTGTAAATATCTATGCTGCACCTTTAAAACTTTTGACGATTAAAGATTAACAGCTGACCTCTCTTCCAATCTAACACTAATTTCTCAGTGCGGGCAAAGGAACTGGCTGGTTACATTCAATGCTTCTAAGACCAAACTGCTTACACTCCATCACTGCCGATCAGACCCCAAACTACCGCCAGTCACAATGAACAGATGTCCCCTGGAGGAGGCCACGTGCCTTGAGAGAATATTGGGCCTCAAACATACATCCAATCGCAAATGGAACTCTTATATATGATCTATTGTTAAAGATGCAGGTAAAATGATTGGCTTCTTTTATCACTCCAGTAAGTATCTGACTCCTCATGCTTTCCTCAACCTTTATAAGAGCCAAATTAGGCTGAAAATGAAGTACTGTTGCCATATTTGGGTGGGAGCTGCCCAGACCTCACTTTCCAGTCTCGACTGATAACAGTTGTGTGTGTGTGTGTGTGTGTGTGTGTGTGTGTGTGTGTGTGTGTGTGTGTATATATATATATTTTTAGGCAGCATATCTTCATTCAAACATATTTCATTGAATAATATAGGCATATTTTGTCTACTTATTTTTATACTGATCCTTTCCAGTTGTCTAATCAATTTCTTGATGTTAAGATGAAATTCATCAAGAAAGGCGCCATAGTTTTGTTTTTTTTTAACCCAAGAACTTTCAAACTTTTCTAAGATCACCTTCAGGGATAAATTCCAAAGACAAACATACTGTAACTGTGATAAAATCTGCATTCTGTTGTGATTCTAAAAAATTATGTTACACTTGGTTTCTTGATTATATCACATAAAAGAATTATCTATAGATAATCAATCTATCCAGAGTACATTAAGAGAATTGAAAATGTTAAATAACTCACCAACTAAACATGATTCTGGTTCAGTGAGAGATTCTGTCAGTCCTCCTTCTGGAATGTTCCATACTCGAATCTTAGCATCATCACAGGCTGAAATGGAAGAAAATTCAAAAACCAAAAAGTGACTTAGGTTTAGATTACTGACATTCCAAAGTTGTTGTTGCTATTTAAGCTGATACAAAACAAAAAGATAAAGGAAAGATTTAGTGGCAGGAGTTCAAAGATTAATTCTGTAAAAATCACTTTGTCTAAAATATATGAATTGACTGTAAAAGATATTTATTTATAAAAATCTCACATTTGAATCAGTTTGATGGAAGAGTAATTCCCACACACAATTATTCACTAATTTTTTTCATTTTATTTGTGTTTATTGAGGGAAATTATGCTTAAAAAATGTTTTTCTAACATTAATGCATTTAGTTTGATTCTCAAAATATTTTTAAATTAAATTTTAGCAAAGAATTCTCCCTTTTTCAATAATTTAATTTTGAAGAATTAATAGTTAAAAAATAGGAAAGACAAAAAAGAAAGAAAAGAATATTGAATGGTAAAAATGGGGAAAATAATTCAAGTCCAAGAAACAATTTTGTTATTTTAAATTTTTGACAAAATTCATTGAAATTTTTGAAGAAATAAAAAGAATTGAAGAGAAAAACAGAAAATACATATCGGCAAAAAGCATAAAAATTTACATGTAAATGACTATGAATTATGACACATCAACTATTCTACAATGATCATGATTTTTCTGGCATTGGTACTAAAAAATCTTTAGTTATATCTATATGGAAGATTTCTCAAAAAATCTAACAAGTTTATACTCTTTAGGCACAACAGAGGAAATTGTACATTTTAATCAGTGTTTGATTCTGGGCAAATCAAATAAACAGTATCCCAATACAGAGGACAAAATTTGAATGAAAAAAAAAAAAATATGGAAAAAATGTTTTGTTGAAAAAAAAAAAAATGGGATTATAAATGCAGGAGGAATTTTAGCAGAAAAATAATTATACTTAATTTCTAAAGAATTAGTGAATTTTATTTTTTAAACTAACATTTTTATTACTTCAAATGTTATTATTAGTGGAGGTCTGTAGTTGAATAGATGCTTTATTACTTTTAAACAATGTTTAAAATTAAATTAAAATTTGATTTAAAACTGTGTACCCATTTGCAGAAGCATGCTGGATAAGACAATGATTTCTCCTGCAAAGGAGGAATGCAGGTTCTAATCCTGTAGGAGGGCACATTTTCTCTAATAAGTTTACTTGACTGTGGAGGCTGGTAAATGAAACAAATACAGGTATCCATTAAAAATAACATTTGAAGTCATAAAAACTTAAGAGAATGTGAAGAATGTCTAAACGAAGAAAATATATATATATATATATATATATACACACACACACATACTTACACACAACTAATCTTCGATCATTAAATGGATCCCAGGCAAAATCTGTGATATTTGCTCCATGCTGAAGAGTTGGGACACCTGTGTCTGGCAAACGACCTGGTTGATTCAGCTAAAAGTAAGAGTTTAAAATATGATTTAGAAAGTCAAACTAAGAACCAAGAAGAAACAATAGGCACAACTGATCAAAATACAATTAAATTTAATTATTTAACATTACCAGAAAATTTATTTTCACAAATATTTATTTTAATAATTTATTGAAATTATCAATTCCTAAAATTATTATCAAAGTAAAAATTCTTAAAATAATCATTTGAATATTATTTTTTTTTATAATTTTCATAATAAAATTAAGATAACAATAAAAATGGAACTCAATGCATTTAAAGTTTTATTCTGAAAGCTTTCAACTTGTTGGACCTTTAACACATATCATCCTGGTATCAGTTTAAACTGACATATTCGTTTTTTCTTTTTTTTTTTTTACATATATCAAAACTATAAATTATAATTTGGAAAAGTGAAAATTTCATTGAAATATGTTACAAAAATTTCCAAGTTATCATCTGAAATCAAGAAAATGTAAACTTTCAGCAAAATGGTCATAATATATGGAAAAAAAAGGTGACATTAATTTAAACTTTGCTCAGAGAATACTAGTTGGGATAATATACTGGATCCCATAGTATAATTGGTACAATGCACTGGCATCTAATAAGCATAGAAGTAATAAACTGGTAAGAACATGTACATCAATTTTAGAGTTTATAAACTAGGTTGAAACATACAGTGTTGTTCTGTATTATTGGGAATAAGGTAAAGCTAACTGTTGCATATTTTGTTTACATATTTCTGCAAATAATTTGAAATGTTTTTTTTTTGCTTCTGTATGAAGATAGATTTAGACATTGATCAAATTCTGTAAGATTGCCAACTTTGTATAAAACATAGATTAATTATTGTTCAATTCCACTAAACAAAGTTGGCTTAGGTTAAGAAAACCAGGAATACAAGGGTGAATCAATAATTCCATACCCTGATATATAACTGAAGTTTTTACATATATAATATTCTGTCTATATTCGCTATTGAATTCAGTGTGTTGGCGAAAGAACAAAAAATAGATTCTATTCAAAAATAAATATTTGTTGCATAAAATAAATGTATTTTTCATCATCATGTCTTTAAGAGCTCACCTCTAGGATACCAATGCATCCCCCAGCACCACTTAGTGGAACTGCACAACATGTCCTGTTGGCATGGAACATATCACTCTCTCCTGGAATGTTCTTTGACAGATTCCGCAAGTTTTCAATGTGGGTATTTTTCTTCATAGGAGTGCCTTTCAAGTGCTTGAATTTATGTTGCTTTATACCTAAAAGAAATGAAAGATATAAACAAGATCAAATAATTTTATCACAAAAATGTAAATTATATATATATATATATATATATATATATATATTTTTTTTTTTTGTTGTGGAGTAGCTTAACACTGTCACAAGATGGACGGGTCTAAGACTATTTAAACAGCACTCTCTCTTACTGAGAGTGGGGTTTTGTTTAACAAGCAAGAAAAATAAACATTTGGCACAGATTCTTATACTGATTTTTACACAAAGTTATTTATAAAGTAAGAATATGGAAATTGCAATATTAACTTTTTCCTTATAAGGAAACATTTGGCATTCCAAAGCAGCCTGTGCTCTTAGACTTATATATACTATCCATTTTCTTCACTCCCCCATTTCCTAATCTCTCATGGTAATATTTACCTTTTTTTTTTTACTGATAGTTCAAGGCCAAATAGCCAGTCAAGGTAGAGGGTTACTGAGTGAGAGTGTAAGAAGGGGGGGGGCGAATATGAGAGTATTTTAAGGATGACGAGGATAGATATTGGCTGAATCTGGACTTAAAGAGACCAAGATTGTAACTTTTAGAAAAACATTCTCTCAGGAGTTTGTTCCACAAAGTAATGGGGTTGGTTTGCCACCATGAACATGGCGAGTTCTAATGGGTTGCACTAAGGAATGTAACTTGTCCCAACATCTGTCAAAGTAATAGTGATGTAGGAGTGAAAAGCTGGCAACATTTCATCTGTTGAATAATGATTGCAAGGTGGAGAATAATTCATCAACCACAAGGCCACATAAGCATTCCTTACAAGGAAACATTTGGCATTCATTGACTGAGCAGCCAGTGATACATTCAGGTGAAATTTATAAAATCTTTCTCTTAAACAATTTTTCAGGAAAATAGGTTTCTCAAGTTCACTGTTATCACTCTTTCCAGTGTTGATAGGGGTTTCCTTCCTAACCTTTTGTTTGAAGTAGTGTGGAACAACATTATTCTCTCTTAGACTTATATATACTATCCATTTTATTTGTTGCTGTTGTTAAAAGTCCTCAAGTGATATGGTTTCTGTTATTTGGTACATTGCTTTGTGATTCTGTAGCCATGTCCACAAAATTCAAATAGGGATAGTCTAACATCTACAGGTTTCATTTGCTCAAAGACATAAATGTGCAATGTTTCATGCAAGGTGAAATATACTATAGAACTCTATATTCATTATGGTTATTAATAACCAAACTTCTTTTCTCAGAATGTTCAACTTACTTGAGAATCTAGAGGGTGAGCCCAGAGTCTTTTTGGCAGGTGTATCATTTGTTACAACTTGATCTCTGATTTTGGACTCAGCCTGTAATGCAATAAACAAAGATGGAGGAATAAGTAAAAATTCCCCAAAAAACAAAACAAAAAAAAAAATTTTAAATAGTTATATTTTAATTATGACTACTTGTGAACAAGACTGTCCTTTTATTGTTTTTATAAATCTGTGATCTGTTATAACACTGATAGGAGCTAACAAATAAGACCAGCTTACATAGCCTGGAAGATGGAAAGATCAGAATTTAAGCATATGGTTTTTTTAATATCTAACATTTCTTTTAATCAAGATTTAAATTTATTTTGAAACAATAACTTTTCCTTAACTATGAATGCAGTATAAACATTGAATAATTATAACAGAAAAGACACACACATATATATATATATATATATATATATATATATATATAGTAAAGGTAAAATAAATCTGTGGATATATAATCAATATATATACAAAAGAGAGATCAATGTATTTTATTTATACAGAGCAATATGAATGAATATTCAAAAAAATCTGAGGAATTCATTATTTTTGCAGATGATGAAAGTGGTTGTCTGTCTTTTCAATCGTGGTGTGGAATGAAGTTCACATAAGTAGAGGAAGTAGGAGTTAACTGTAAGGCGATGATATTAAAAGCTAAAGGGTCAACCTAAAATTTAATCTGCCAATGATAACTAATGTAGTGTTCACACTTTTCAATGTTTAAGTTAGACAATACAATAGGCACCAGACAGGGATTGGGTGATAATTGTCTATCTTAAAGGGGAGAAGTTGTAATAAGTGAGTCAGAGAATATTAACCCTATGAAGGCAAATTGGGTGCATTAGAAATAGGAAAGAATGAATTTAGATTTAAAAGTTGTCATTCTAGCATTTAGTCCAGATGGAATCATTAAGAGTTAGAAGTGATTTTCTAAGTGGGAAATGGAAAACAAAGATTTTATACCCATGAGCACTCATTCTTTAACCCTAAACTTAAACACCAAACAACTCTTTCAAAAACATTTTGGGAAATGAAGGACAAAAATTTAAACCCACAAATAGTTTGGAAAATTATAGGCTCTGCACAAACTCCCAACAGTTTTAGAGATTGGTATAACTTATGCTTAGAAGAAAAAATTAAAATCATAAAATACAATAATGAAAGCCAACTATTGAATCAGAGGAACGATTTAGTATTCAAACAAAAAAAAACAAAAAACAAAATTCAAATGTCTATAATATAATTTTACCTTAATTAGCTACCCTAAATCAACCCCCCATCCCCTCTAAATCTTCAAATGTTGACATAACAACAAATTCAAATTTCCATAGTGCAATTTTTCCGTTTTAGCTACCTTAAATCCCTCCCCCCTCCCACCTTCTCTAAAACCTTTTTATGCTATATTAATTATAATTTTATAAACTTTCCTCTACTTAGAATTTTCATCTAATGTCCTCATTACCTTATATTTTTTAAAAATTAGTTTGAAATTTATTTTTAAATCCATTTTTAAATTTAAATTTGTACTTTCCTATTTCCAATGCTTCCAATTTGCCTTCATAGAGTTAATATTCTCTGATCTATTTAATACATCATCTTCCCATTAAGATAGATAGTTACCACTTGCTCTGGTGCCTATTGCCTAAATTAAACATTGAAAACAATGAACATTATATTAGGTATCTTTGGCAAATTAAATTTTAGGTTGACTCTTTAGCTTCTAATATCACCTCCTTACAGTTAACTCCAACTTCTCTCTATGGACACGAACTTCATTCCACATCGGGGTAGAAAAAACAGACAATTACTTTCATCATTTGACAAAATAGTCTATTCCATGCATTAGGTAAAAAGATTTTTTGATTATTCATTCATATATATATATATATATATATATATATATATATAGATAGATAGATAGAGTTTTATATAACAAGCAATAAAAAGACGTTACAAAAACAATGTTAAGTGTAAAATATAAAAATATATAAAGAGCAATATACAATATATAAAGATACTTTTATATATTATATTTTTGTGTGTGCATATATATATATATATATATATATATATATATATTTAAAGAGAGAGACAGACAGACACGTAGACAGAAAGCAGCTACTACGTTTTTCACTGTACACTTATTCAATGAAATATTTTCTTCTCAGTTACATTTTTAAAAATGTTAAAATATAGAAATTTCGAAATAAAAAGTTACCACTGAAAACCATTTCTAATTCTATCTAGAATATATCCAACAACAATCTATAAAAATGTAAACCATACAAGGATATTTCTTTGCTGTGATAGTGATCATTTTTTAAAATACTTTCTTTCGTGATTGATGAATACAAGGTGAAAGTAAAAAAATCAAGTTGGGTAACTCTTAATTTTATGATAAAAAGAAGCCTAGTAATTTATCTCCCTTGAGAGTTACAAAAGTGTATTCAGGACTAAAAAATGAATTTCGGGGGTTAAGAAGACAAACTATTCAGACGTTTTCTTTTAAACAATAAAGAACCCTCATTTTTTAACAGATATATTCAAAATACGTTTCAACGGCTAAAACACAAAATATTCAATCGTTTGCTTTAGACAATAAGGAATTATGAGTTTTTAAAGAATATGCTCAACATTCAACATGCATGATAAATATACAATACGAGGGGTAGATGGAACTTAAATAGGGTAAATGGAACTCTTTAGTCTGGTAGGGCAGTCTATCTAAGTGAAGGAACATTTATTTCAAACCTTTGCTACCTTACATCTATACCTAATCTTTTGAAAGGCTCAGAGAGCTAACCAGTAGTCTGAAAGGCAGTACAACATTGTATCCTTGTTCTAGTAACTCCTGCAAAGGTAATAGTACCAGTATCAGCTCTGTCCTTCCATTTGACAACAATGGTAGTATGGAAAGAGGGTAGACTTGCTGCTTGAGCAACTGCCAATCTCCCACAAAATAATCTTATCTAGGTCTGCACCCAAGAGAAGACATTTTAGCATTGTCTCACCTTTCTTCATTTGGTAAAACAAATGCTACACTACCACTACCAGCTGAATTTAAAATTAATACTCTCTGCTCTTTAGATCCAGGTTCTTTCAAGATCAATGGATACTACACCTGCAGAAATAACAGGTACAGAGTTATCCCAACAGTTAACAACACAGAAAATGGAATCGATAAAGTCTCAAACTTGAGATACTTCAAGTTGAGAAAGGCATGAAAAACCTCCCTTGATAGATCAGGTCAAATGAGCATTTACTTGGTGATAGGATTTAAGGGGTTCACAATGGTTTGTGTAAACTGCTTACTAAAATTATGCAATTGCACAGAACTGATTATTAAATTCCACTGACCTATAATCTATCGACAAAAATTTCTGGGATGTAAAGAAAAAAGAACCGGTTTCTAAATTCATAGAAAAAAATTGGTGATGTAAAATAAGAAAGAATTTATTCCTAAAATGTTTGAATCCAACCACTGAGATCACTTGCTAATTAGTGGTACTATGTAACTCAAGACAGTTTGTCACATGTTACTTTGAGAAAACATAGACACTACCAAGCCATACGCATTGTTCTGAGAATCACTAAGTAGGACTAAAGTCTACAAAGTACAAGGATTAAACAAATTTAAAAAGTCAGAAATAAACAACTTGATTTTTATACAACTGAAGATAATTCTCAATATTAATTTTTAATGCATCAAATAAGATAAAAATATTTGTTCAAATATTTTTATTATTTATTTTATGAATATTTTCAGTTATTAAAAAAAACTTGAAAGAATATTTTACCTTTGGTTCTCTGACAGGATCTGCAGAACTGGACAATTTCTCAGATCCCCCATTAACTGCTTCATCAACAGATGTTTGCACTTCAAGGCTGTGTTCAACTTTTGTCTCCTCAATTATTTCACTGCATTCTTCTTTCTCCTCTTCTTTCACCTCCTCTTTCTCCTCTTCTTTCACCTCCTCTTTCTCCTCTTCTTTCACCTCCTCTTTCTCCTCTTCTTTCACCTCCTCTTTCTCCTCCTCTTTCACCTCCTCTTTCTCCTCCTCTTTCACCTCCTCTTTCTCCTCCTCTTTCTCTTCTACTTTCTCCTCCTCTTTCTCCTCTACTTTCTCCTCCTCTTTCTCTTCTACTTTCTCCTCCTCTTTCTCTTCTACTTTCTCCTCCTCTTTCTCTTCTACTTTCTCCTCCTCTTTCTCTTCTACTTTCTCCTCTTCTGCTGCTTCCACTTTTTCTTTGTCTTCATCTGATATCTCAATAGAATTTTCAATTGCACTATCCTCAATAAAATCCTCTTTCTTATCCTCAATTATAGCTGTGTCCTGTTCTTTCTCTTCTTGCTCAGACATCTTATCGACTGCCACACTTGCTTCATCTGTCTTTTCTTTACCCTCCTCCTCCTCATCTTTCACTTCAGCCTCTTTCTCATCTTCTTTGATTGTCTTGTCCATTTTCTCTTCCTCCTCACATTCCTCCTCATCCCCCTCCCCTTGCTCCTCCTCCTCCTCATGACTTGTATTTTCATTCATTTTGTTGTCAATAATTTCATCGTTGATACCCTCCTTGGTAACCTCCTCTTTCTTAGCACGATTGTCCCTCTCGTCCTTGAAAGATTTGGTAGGTGCACGGCTGCGTTCGACGGCAGCATTTAGGCTCTCTATCTTTTGCATGATGTTGCTGCTGGCTCGACGCTGACTCTTTGGGGTCAGGGGGGGATCAGATGTTTTATTCTCAGTTGGAGAATCGTCAATGGGTTTCCTGCTAGGGATTGGACTGTTATCCTCATTTCCAGTGTCATTCAAACGATGCGGTCTCACTTTCAGCGGAACTCTTTTGGCTGGATTCAGGCACATGGTAACTAACTGCAAAGATAAAGTTTTTAAAAAAATCTAATTTCATGCAATTGCAATAAAAAATGAATTAACAATTATTTCTTAAATGTTTTGTAGATAATTTAATGAATGTTGAACATACATTCCAACCTTTAATGCAATCAGAACTAAATAACATTTATTCTACTTGTTAATTGCCAAATCACATTAATGCCAGAATATCTTCCTTTTTGAAATTTCCACTTTGTCTTCATTTTTCCCCCCACACACCACTGTGATTAATAAATGCTTTTGAGCAATTGTGCTTAACGTTTTGGAATCATCTTTTTTCTATTTTTAGCCTATTCAGCAAAAAAAATAACAAAAAAAAAACATGAAACCACACAGATGTCATAAGTGAAAATCAGGTGATTGGTGGTATTAAAAACAATATATCAAAACTGAAGCTTCAAGTTTATTGAGTTCCTAACAATATAAGTGACATTAGATTCTGAATAATATTAAAGTAAATGATAATAAAATCTTGGCAAAAGTACAGGTATATGTGGTTTTAGTGAAGAGGAATTTGCAAGAAAATTAACACTAAAAAGAATCCAATGACATACACTAGCCTCTGAAGTAAAGACGACAGAATAAGTGGAAATGCCACATAGGTAAAATATGTATCATTCTCATCAATATGGCAATGAAATAAAGAAAGAAGATTTCACAATTAGAATTATGTAAAGTTTTAGTCTTTAATTCTTACAATTTTCTCACTAGAAATTTAGTCAAATCTAGTTGGGTTATTTCATCACTTTCTGCTCTTTCTTATATAAAGGAATACATGTTAGAGTTTCTCTTGATAGATTCTGACATATCCTCATCTATGTACTTGTACTGAGAATTGTCAGATGTACAGTAAGAACTGAGAAAATACTTGCCAGTAAACCAACTAGAATTTTGAACCAGCCATTTATTAGTATGTCACATGGTAAATAAACTCTAGATTTCACTATTTTGATATGTTCTTATTATAAAATTTGTACAACTAAATGAAACTTGGTTTCTTGGCACACAACTATATCACTCTATATCTCCTCATCTTTTTTTACTTTATTCTGAAACATGAAAAGAAACTAGGATTTGTAATCTGACAACTTATACTGCATATCATATTATTATTATCATTATTATTATATAACCAACTTTTGCTATTATCACCATTATATTTTAATATTATCATTGAACTTCATTATATTTTTGCCACTGGTTGACATACATTCCACATATGTATCATTATATCACATGCATTATATATTGTTTTACTTGATGCCTTGGACATAAAAATGCCATAATACAAAGCGACACAATGAATGTCTACACAAAATAGCCACCTCAGGAACAAGGCAAAAAGAAATCCAGTTTGAAACATTTTAGAAAGTAGCACAAATTGGCTGAATGCACTTCTCAACACCTTATCAAATGACCAAACATCAGAATTTGAAAAAGCTTCTTGGTTTGGCTGAGGACTTTTTAGTAGACATTTATAAAGAATTGTTCAGTTGCTTTACAATCTCTTCTATTTTTGCTTCAACCATTTTTCTTCATTTTTTTGTCCCCAAATTTGTCACCTTACAGTCAGACAGAGTTAAAACATTTTTTTCTGTTAGTTAGAATCATATATATTGAGCCCCCCCCCCTCACCACCATACCATAGGTAAATAAATAAGGAAAATAAAAAATAATTGTGTAAGACTTCTGAGTATGAAACATTCACTAATCCTTATCTTTGGCTATATTGCCAAGCTTTTTAACAGTAAACTATGAGAAATCAAGTTATTTTAAAGTGTAGACTTTTCAAAATGGTAATTGGTCTCTTTTTTAAGTTAAATATCATTACTGCTTAAATCAAATCAAAATATTAGAAAATTACACAAATACAAAAATATCTGAAAACATTACTATATTTTAAAATATTTGTGTTAGATTTGGTTCATAATATATGGAGAATTGTTTAAACTTAATTGTGAATCTGTTGTCTTCTATTCAACTTGAGTTTTAATTTTGTTTTCCTCCTTTTTATCATGTGAGAAATATTGCCATTTTGAAGTACCAAAACTTTGAAAAGATAAAAGATATAAAACTGTATTTCCTCTACTTACTGGCTTGTTGTGTCCAGCAAACCATTCAGGAGCCTGCATGGCTGGTGTCCCATCTGAGACATCAGGGAAAATATCAGCATGATAATCACGATAAGACTGAAAAATAAAATTCAAAAGAAATAAGATTCATAAAACATAATTCATGTTTTAAATGTCATCATAAAAAAGAGAATATGATTTGTTAATATTTCAAAATATTTAATATGTCAAAAATGGAGTATTGTTGCCATAAACTGGGCTCAAACGAAATTGTCAGGAAACAGCCTGACCACTGTGTTTAAATATGAAACAGATTGTCGACTGAGTGTTGACTTCAATGTCCACTTTTATATTTACATACACTCTTATCCCTGATATTGAACACTTTAACTTATAAAACTATATATATATATATATATATATATATATTAGTTGGATTATCACTGATATTGATCACTTTCCAATAAGTACCGTCCATATATAATATATAAATAATATATAAAAAATTATATATATATATATATATATATATATATATTTTTTTTTAAAAATATGATTCCATCATGACACAAAATTTCTATGTTTCAAAACTGAAACTAAATTTATAAATTTAATTATAAAAATTAAACTTAAAATCCATAGTTTCATTCCATTGTCAAGCAATGTTAGGAATAACTTTCTAAGAAATTTAATTTTTATAATTTATAGATTTTGTTTCAGTTTTGAAACAGAAATTTTGTGTCATGATGGAATCATATTTTTAAAAATAAAATAATTATATTTTGCTCTACTGTTTGAATTGAGCACTGTTTTTTTAAAATTAAAAATAATTGCTAGGAACACCAGATTATAAAATTTACTGCTCTTTCTTATTATATATATATATATATATATATATATATATATATATGGTCAAAATAGTCGTAATTTTATCACGAGTAGCCTCCTTGAAACTGAAAATTTGAAAGCTATATTACTAAAACTTCATGTTTACTCAGCATAGAAATTTTTATAGCTACCTTCATATATCAGTGGATTTGCATAAAACAGAATTAAAGTGTATGACTTAATTCGTTTACATAAAAAGTTTTTTTTTTTTTTTCCTTTGGTCAGGCTGAGAACTTTTCAGTACTCTCTTGTAAGTAATATAGACCAAAAAAAAAAAAAAAAAAAAAAAAAAAAACCGAAAAAACAAGACTTTGGGATGTTATTATGACTAGCCTGCGGAGAGACACAAGTGAAAAATTGAATTGTATAAATACACTGTCATGCAAAACTTTTGGGCCAACTTTGTAAATTAATTACTTTTGTTAATTTTACTCCAAAATCAAGAGTGACAAGTAGTATGCATTTCTCAATACATTTTATGATCTTTGAAGTACAGAAAACGTTAATTCTGTATGGTGGATGATAAAGTATCTTAAGCAAAAGTGATACTGAAAAAAGGCTATGCAAAAATACTCAGCCAACAGCAAATAATTCAACTTTCAGCACTTTCCATAAATTAAGGAGGAATTTTTTTTTCCCAAAAGTAATTTTTATTATTACAGAAAGCTCAAAAATATGGAGTTATTAATTACTGTTGCTGCTTTTGGCTTAAATAATTGCCTCAATTCGATGTGGCATTAAATGGAACGAGGCCCAGATTTTATCATTGGGAATTTTTTCTCATTCTTCTTGGCGGTAATCCCAAAAACTCTTGGAGATAACATAGTTTTCATTGGAGCACTTGTTTCATCAGTTCCCACCCCAATGGTTCTATTATATTGAGATCAGGACTTTGTGCTGGTCAGTCTTCCACAAACTGAACATCTTCATCTATAAGAAACCTTTTTGTTGAACATGATGTGTGGCAAGGAACATCGTTAGGCTGAAAATGTCTCCATCTTCATAGTCTGGAAGAAGATTAAAACATAATAAACTAATATAGTTTTCACTGTTTTATGTTTCTACCCACTTTTACCAATTTTTGTCTACCATTTTTGATGCAACCCCAAACCATTTTATGTCCATCATCAAATTTTACCATCTTTGTGGTTTATCTTGAATTGTTTCTTTCTTTTACTGGTCTTCTCACACATTCCCTTCTATTAGAATGTAACTATAAGGTAACCAAAAAAGTCCTTGCAGTTTTTTATGTTGTGTGGGAAGAAGTGATCACTGATACGCAAATGAATATGTCGGATGCCAGGAAAGCAGTGGGGGGGTGGGAGGTGTTGACATTACTCTTGACCAATACAGGTGTGTTACACACACACATCAGTCATAGCCTGAGTAGTAGTGAGGAAATATGGTGGTGTCAAAGCAGCTTGTTGAGGACTGTCTGCTTTATGACGTTAACTTTGACTTGTCTGCAATTGCATCTAGTCACCAAATACATCAAACCTTAGGGGATAATGCTGTAAGTAAATACACCACCAAACATTGACTCTAGAAGTTCAGGTCAGGAGATCTATCCTTTTGTGATGGACCTGTAGTGGCCAGCCACAGGTCTTGGATGATGAATGCGGCCATAGAGGTGATGCACTTGCCAGACACTACCAACTTCTGATGAAACAGTCAAACTTCTCCTGTGCTGCATAGGGAAGGTGTACAAGTTGAGCAAGTGGGTACCCCCATGCACTACCATAAAGCAGCAAGTGATGAGTGACAGCCTGTTTTTTGTTGCTTTCTCAGCACCACAACATATCCATATTTGATTGAGTGCTTACCAGTGATAAAAAGTGGGTCCTGTATGACACTCCCAAGAGTGCCAGACATTGGTTTTCACCATGGGACCCTGTGCCTCACATCACAAGGTCACCTCTATACCCATGCAAGATCATACTCTGTATCTGGTAGACTAGTTGACAAGTGGTGTACTATGAGATGAGCTGCTACCAATGAGTCAAACAGTCACTGCAGATGTGTATGTTACACCATGTGCAACAGGCACCGAAGCATAAGGAACCCACATTGATTAATCACAAGGGTGTACTGTTCTTGTTATCAGGCACTTACAGATTTCTTTGTGTCCAAGAGACATGTTTTTTACCACCAGGGCATTGCTGATGGGGATTACTTTGCAGATTAATAGTATGTCAAACTTGCTGTATACCTTTTTTGTTTTACATTCATCATAAAAATTATTTTTGCCACCTCCCACCATCCCATGTTAGATGTTCTTTTGCGTACTTCAATCTTCCATTCCACTATTTTGGGTTAATGATGCTGTTCTTTTTCTGCTAACTGCCCATTCAAGTTGTTTTTCATAATACTCTGCTTACAGTATCAACTGTTAAGACTGCACTCACTCAACACTTGTCTGGCAGTTAATTTTGGATTGCCTAACAAGACTCTCATGACCTTTCTTCCATCTTGTCTAACTTTTGTGATCTTCTGGTCTTCTTTTCACTTAAAACACTTCCAATCATAGCAGATGTCCTTTGGATGGTTTAAACACTGTTTCTGGAAATTCTAGTTATCTCCCATTGAATTATGTTCCCCCTTTAAAGTCACAACTTTTATCTTTATTTCAACAAAAAATTTAGCCACGATTTTAATGAAGAAATGCAAGCTACTTTTCAGCTACAATGACTTGCCAAGGCACCTTACACTCATGTTAATAAGATGGGACAATTCCAACTTAGAAATTTATATATTATCATGAATTCATTGGTTCAGTAGTTTTTTTTTTTTGGGGGGCTTTTTTCAGTTTCAAGCTGCTTCAGTTGGTGTATCTTCTGTTAAATGGGACCTACAAAAACAACAGCATATTTTCCAATCCTCAGTTTCTACAGACACTACTAAGCATACTGCTAAAAAATCTTTTCTTAATAAAAGGTGTCTAATCATTTTATGTAGTTAACCAAAAGCCTTTGCACACCTGTGTAAATTATTATCTATGACATAAATTGTCTAGAAGGAAAACTCTGAATTTAAAACCAGCCTGAAGAAGGACAGGCTCTGTCAGGTTATATCCACCCACTGTTGCTATGACTGCAGTACATTATGATTCTAATGGGTTATAAGACTCATGATGATGTATAAAAAAAACAAAACAATCTGGGAACTTACATAAGAAATATATAGAAAATGCTGCATATATAAAATTGTTTTAACAACATTATATAAAGGAAATTGAAATGGTCGCCAAACATTTTCAAATCCAAAAATAAAGCACTTATTCAAGAAAACCAGAAAGCTGTAGCACAAGGTGAAGTGTGACTGACCACATATGGAGAGAGAAGGGAGATCACCACCCTCTGTGGGATCAGGTTGAGATCATAGACAAAGAACACCATTGGAAAATTCGTAAACTTAAGGAATCAGCACATATGCTAGGCCACAAAAATCTTCTGAGCCGACCAAGCATAGAAATGAATACAATATGGGAACCAGTAATGCCAGAGAAAAGCAATAATAGCAAATAACAACAAAAATTGCAACATGAGCACTGGTGAAAAATGGTTGCTGAAGACATTAGGTTTATAATACCCAGAAATTCATACACGGATGTCCTCAAGGACACATGGTACAGTGGATAAAGGCGTTAGTTAGATCCAGTGACAGGACCCAAAGAGTGTGAGTTCAATACCTGGTTAAGGCAGTGCAGAACTTTCAGAGGAAAATTAACAGGAGATAACTGATAACTGACATCCATTAAACATGGCACATGGAACTAGAACAGTGAGTGAAATAAAGGGTTTAGTTTGACATTCCAACCACCTGAAGAAGGCCGGAGTGTACAACGGCTGAAATGTTGTAATAAATATAGGGACAAAGATGAGGACAAATAATGTAAAGCAATATTAGTTGTCAAAGAATGCAGAATTAATTTTATAATCTGCAGACATTTTTATGCTACAGAGCTTCAACTGAAGAGTAAATAATAAGCCTGCCTCATAATTACATTATGCATTTCTCACTGATATTTGTCATGGTGGATATACAAGCGTAAATTTTCAATAGATTTTTCAAAGCTGGAAGGTCCTTCATACTTGGAAAACACAATTTACCTTTTTCCATTTTCTCTTTTAGTTAAAATTTAGTAAAAATCTTAAAAGTTTAAAAAAAAAAATGGCTTGCAAACAGAACAATTGATAATTGGAAAATATGTAATTTCACACATAAATTTTCACAGGCATTTTGATAATAGAAAATATTTGCCATAGGCAAACTTACTTTTCTGGGAACAATGTATGGCGTTGGAATGATACAATTTTTTGTCAATAAAATCATTCGATTGATTTCTCCTTTCATTACATCAAGAGCTCGTTTAGGGACCATTGCAGCACCTTTAATTTGTTCTGTACGATCATTTGCAGCTGAAAAGAGCAAAGAAGTTGCAAAATATTTGTAAAATGATTACTGAACGGCACTAATCAATAATTTTGTTAATTAAAAGTAACTGAAAATTCTTTGTGCAAAATCTCAATGTGAATATGGAATATTTTCGTATGCAGTAAATCTGTACTATTTGTACTTAGGTAAACTAAAGAGGGATCAATAATAGTGCGGGGGGTGTATGTATATAGATTACAATAGGCTGTGTACTGTAAATTTTTAACTTGTAGAAAATATTTTTTAGCCAAAGTAAATGATTAAAAAAGTTGCTAAGGTAATTGTTTTAATACAAAATAATGGTTCTGATTTTGTGTTCTGAATTATTCAGTTACATTAAAGTCAGACAAACCTTCAGTGACATATGGTGCTCGGTCAATATGTTCCCAGAATCGAAGGGTGTTGTCTCCCTAAAATTTAAAAGAAAAAAATATAATTATGTATAAAATCTACATTATTAAATTACTGAACATAAATCAGATACCATCAATTAATTGCCCAAGTTTCCATAATTTTTTCTTTTCTTTTTTTCTTGTCTAACTTTTGTGATCTTCTGGTTTTCTTTGCACTTAAAACACTTCCAGTTATTGCATGCATCCTTTGAATGGTTTGAACACTTTTCTGGAAATTCTCAACTGTCTGGATGAGTTATGTTCCCCATCAAAGTTACAACCTTTACTTTCGTTTTAACAGAAATTTCAACCATGATTCTAATGAAGAAAAGCAAGCCAATACACTCATGTTAATAAGATGGAACAATTCCTACTTAGAAATTTTATATTATATATATATATATATATATATATATATATATATATATATATATATATATATATATATATATATATATCTTTATTAAAAGATTGAATTTCTCTATCTGAAAAATAAATTAAAAAATAAAACCTTACTAAGATCCAAAACATGAAAAACTAAAGTAAAATGAAAATCACTTTACATGAGTTTTCCCTTTTGAAATAATGATTTGAATTTTAATGATATTTTTTAAAGAACTTAGTAATTTAAAATGATAGGCATAATTTTTTTTAACCAGGATTTTGGAATAAAACAAATGACATTATGAAATCTTTAATATCCTAAGATGCCATTACATGAGCATGTATGTCTGTTTTAAAAATTAGGTATCAGATTAAAAAAATTAAATACAAGCTAAAATGAAAAATAAAACACACTTTTTTTCTAGTGTAAAAGAGAAAACAATGGTTGATATGTCTCAAAGTTTTAGTATGAACACCCAATTCATATTGATGATGAAGAATTATTATCATCATTGTTTTTATTAATAATGTTTCCTCTAAAAAATTCAAATTAATTATTTCTTTATATAATGGCATACAGGTTTTAGATTCAGTCATGAAACAAAGGTTTCAGAATAAGATAAAAGCAAAGAATAAATTCTTTATGACTAAAGACAGATATTTCATACATTTATATTAATGGCATGGACTGGTGATTGGCGTCTAAACCACCTTCCCAACTAGCTGTTCTACTGTTAAGGGTATCACGTCACCCCACAGGATGAAAAATAATGCCTGTCAAAGGACAGATGAGCTTCTTATAAGAGCTAATAAATAATATACACACATTCAAACACACACACACACATATATATATATATATATATATATATATATATATATATATAAAGACATTTTTATGTTTATACATTCTTTTTATAGATACAAATATTTAAGTAGATGCTGTTTATAACAAAAATTATATTAAACATTTATATTAATAAAAATATATATATATATATATATAAAGCAATTTGTAAAGAAAGGAATGGATATTTTTTATTAATTCAACAGATTTTTATTACTTAAATAAGCAATTCTACTGTTTAATAAATAAACAAAGTGTCTACTCAAATATGTGTATCCACTAAAAATAACGATTTAGTGAGATACATATATATATATATATATATATATATATATATATATATATAAATAAAAGGTTTCGATGGAATCTCAAGCCTTTAGTGGCAACCTTCCTAGAGATGGAGCCTCGATAAAAACACTCGGTGTACTTGGATTACTGCAAGTGTCCGAGATGGGCATCTGGCCCTGTAAAACCTTGCCTCAAATCATTAGGACAAGAGATCCTATGTCAGGTAGGACTGATGTTGCTTTGTCACAAGATTAATCCCAGGCTTGCCCACCCCCCAAAATACAGCTATGTATGAATGCAATTTATGAAGACAATATTAACATTTCTTTGATTATAGCTTCATTAAAGAAGTGTGTTACTTAAAAACAAAAATTTTCATTACCTTGCCTATCAGGAACAACATATTTGTGTCAGCATCAAACAATGGAATTAAAATGCTGAAGAAAAAGCAAAAACAAATACATGTTAATTCTGATAGTTATTTTCTCACACCAAAGCTAAAAAAATACTATTCTTAAAGATTTACAATAAACCAAACAAACCTTTCTTTTTCCTTATCATAATTGATGTTACTTGGAAAATTTTACTTGAAACACAACTCCAATGGCTGAATAGTTTTGTTTTTAAATGTATAAAATTTAATTAAAAATGTTCATTATTATTATTTTTAGCTTGCTAAAAATCACAAAGAAAAAAATTAATTTACAAAATAACAACAGTAAAAAATTATTTTGATATAGTCTTACCCTGGTGAGGTATCCAGAGATTGTGTGCTGAGTGGGGCAGATGTGTTTTTCAAATCCCAAACACAGATTTGTCTCTGCCTCATCTGAAATCAAGATAGTTATTTACATAATAAATAAATATATATATAATTGAAACAGAAATATAAAAAGCAATGATTTTGAAAATTCAATAGATTTCAAAAGTAAATTTTTAGTATTCACATAAAAAATTAACAGCTTCAGTTATTATAGGAATGAGTCTAATGTTTAAACAGAAGTCAAAAGCAAACATTCTATAACACAGGACTTAAATCAGTTATGGAAAAACTTCAATAACATATACAAGTAAGAAGACAGGTTATTAATATCATTAATTAAAATTTTAAAAAAGTGTGAAAAATTGAGATATTTCTTAGAAAAGGACAAATGGCTTTAACTTGAGCACTGAATATTTGGCAGGATTTGGACTTTTAAAAGAAAATCAAGAGAAGAAATTAGGCCATTAGACTCTTCACAAATTCTTTATTATCTGTGAACTTGCATTTTAGGATAAATAGTGGTTTCAATTGGCCTTCTCCACTATTTGAAATTTAGAGTTTTCCTTTTAAACTACTTGCTACTCAAGCACAATATCCCCATAGTTGAGGGGTGGGGGAGGTAAGATGAATTCAAACCTTTCCCAATGGAATTTGTGCAAAACTGAACACCATAGACTGACTTGAAATTTTAACTTAGCATGCCATTTCTTTTTTCTGTGCCAATACATATACATTTTTTAAATGCCATATCTCTTCAGGACATAGACAATCATTGATCACCACATATTCTTTTTCTTTATTATCTGTGAATTTCCATGACTTCTTGAGAAAAGATAACGAAGTGGTTTCCTTTTGACCTGTCCTATGATTTGGAATTTAGAATGTTTCTTCTCTTAGATGAATTGTTATTCTGCATCAATATTCATTACACTATCCATATATACTTTATTTAAAAGAAAAATATAAAGTAAATTTAAAATGTTTCAAAAGTCATACACCCAATTATGGTCGGAGGGCAGAATCCAACAAAACATTGTAATAACAAAGCTGAAGACAAAAGTCTGCATATAAATAATGTAAATAAAAGCTGAAGTAGTTTGCCTCAGGAATAGGATCATTGCTTAAAAACAATATCCTTTGGAGAACAAAATTCAGGCCATATTAGAAGTGCTAAGCTTTTCCAATTTGTTAAAGCTGAAAGCCCATCTTGGACTATTGACTTATTTTGGTCAGATTTTACTACCACTGAAAAAAATTCTGAGTCCATTACATGAGCTGTCAAAAAACCAAGTAAATAAAAAAAAAAAAAAGGATCAAAACACAAGAAGGTGCCTTCTGACAGTTGAAGTAGTCACTGTTAACTTCTCAGGTTCTTCTATATTACACTTTGTCAAAATCTTTGTTCTTGTTATGTGAAGTATTGTCATACACCATAAAGGTTGGGTTTTTTCATTAAATAGCGATGACAGCTCTTGGTTATAACAACTTCTTCGTTAAACAGACAAAAATCGCCATCACAATATCCATCTTGATAGTATAGCAATCAGCTTTGGGATCCATCCAAATATTCTAATAAGGTAATCATCTATCCTAATGTGGGCAGATTTTTGGTGCTAAACCCACAGGTAAATGACTGAGAAAATTTTCATTATATGTAGGCTGGGCTCTTCATGTGTTTCAATTCATAATTGCAAGCTGAAAATATCAATGTCCATCATTGCACCCTTGGAAAAGTCAACTGATAGATCTTTCAACTCTCTTCTAACAGAGATGGTAAATTGTCTGCCATATAATACTTCTGAAACTTGTTGGATCCAAACATGATGGCAAGGTTGTCCTTGTCCACCTGTGCACACTGCTACTTGGTTTTAGACATGGTCCCAGAAACAAAGTATAGGGGCTGTCATTTCCAGAAAAATAATAATGTCAAAATATTTAAATACTTACAGAATCGAACCCAGTAGAAATGATCATGTTTTTGTTCCCAAGCCAAGCCACGCGGGACTCCTTTTGACCTATGTGCCCATTCATTTCCTGAAAAAAAAAAAAAAAAAAAAAAAAAAAGAAGATCTTTCAGTAAAGTATCTGCTGCTATTTTTCAAGGTGATAATATTGTAAATGGCTTTAGGTAGATAAAAAAGACAGACAAATAAAAAAAGAGAGAAAGCACCAGGAATGAAAGAGAAGAATATAATTACAGAAAATTTACAAATTCAAAAATATCTGAAGTGTGGTTTTCATTAGAAATGTAACTACAAATAAAACTTTAGAGAAAGTAATCAGTACAATGACATAAGATAAAAAAAATCTACCTTTTACACTTTCTTGCCTTAGCAACAATTTGTTATTTAAAATTACAGCTTACAGACTTTAGTAAAAAATAAAATGAGGGTTTACAATATTGTGTTTACATTTTTATTTCTGTAGTGATAAATAAAAATCACAACCATGATTCATTTTTTTTCATTTGCAATTCTTTTTCTTTACTGTATCTATAAGTTATTTATTGAAAGTTCACAATGCTTCTCTCACAGAACACACCTAACAGTAAATCTTCAACCAATGATCTTGAGGTACCTCTAGGTTTTTCTTTTCTTTAAGTACCTCCTAAATTTCTAGATGACACTGAAAATGCTACAAAATGCAGTAGTTTTGTTATATTTTCTGCATATTTCATTATCATGTTTGTCTATTTTCATATTGAAAATTATAGGAATTTTTTAATCTGGCATTATTTTTATTATAAACATTATCTTTAGTGGATACACAGGTTCAGTCTAGGCTGGTTGCTCTTAATCTCATTGTTTAAGAAAATAAAAAACAAGGATAGCAACTCAAACATGTGTACCACTAAAAATAATATTTATAGTAATAAGAAACACTGAATACTTTCCTTATTTATTAAATGACAGCATATCTCATTGGTAGCATCAGTAAAAAAAATTATTACAGTCCAACCTCTCTAATCTGGCATTCTTGGGACTAGGCCATTGCCAGACCACAGAAAGTGCTACATGACAGATATCCCCCTTAAAAAAAACCCTATGTAAACTTAATCTTCCCAGCTCATTGCACATATATATTGCTGTATTATCAAAGGTAGAACAAAGCTTAAAACTGGAAATAAAACAATGATTAATACTTCCAAACAAGATTTTTATTGTTTCATGCAATACAATAACTAACAAAAAAAGCCCCAAACCCCAAAATAATATATACTTATTATCCTGAATAGATAAATATGCAGTTATATGTAAGAAATGAGCAAGATCCTGATGCTGTTGGCTACTCAGAAACTTGTAAATATGTGGTGCAGTTTTCATAGTCGTTCAACAAACTAATGACAGCTGATTCAAAAAAGTGCTGGACCACAGAATGGAGGATTAAAGAGGTCGGACTGTCTTATTATTTATATCTAATTAGCTATTAGCATTCACAGTTGTCAGTTATTTAAACAAGGTGGTGATAAAAAGTTCTTCAGCCAAACTACTTCCTGATCAAATGACCAAAAATCAAATTATTTTTAAATCCCATCTTGGTCAGATAGAACTTTTCAGCACTTGCTTATACAAATGGGAAATTCAAAAAGAATCAAGGTCACTATTTATCCAGAGGTTTATAGATTCATCCTTTTCTGGAGGCCTTGCCCTAAGTTTACAAATTCAAGGTGGACAGATTTAGAGATTAACTCTTATGAAAGCTAAGCCAGAGAAAAACTTAACAGACAAGTAGCAAATCAATCTGTTGTCACAATTGTTGTTTATAAAAATATGAACTTAACCTAATATTCTGACTCTGAAAGCAAAAAAAATAAGAAATAGAAAATAATGAATCACATGTAACATTATGAGAAAACAATGACATAATCAAGGCGTTGACTACTTCAAACAAAAGTTTAGGAAGGAAATCCCCTTCAATCCTGGAAAGAGTGATAACAGCTACTGGTCATGAGAAACCTATTTTCCTGAAAATTATTTTAAGAGAGAAAGATTCCATAAATTTCAGCCAAGAGCAGTATTGGCTACTTGGTCAATGAATATCAAATGTTTCCTATAATGATAATATTAGCTTTTTCTTTATAAGGAAACATTCAGCATTCATTGATCAAGCAGCCAGTGCCACTTTTGGTTGAAATTTATAAAATCTTTCCCTTAAGACAATTTTTTTAGGAAAATAGGTTTCAAGTCCTGTAGTTGTTATTACTCTTTCCAGTAGTGATGGGGGTTTCCTTCCTAACCTTTTATGTGAAGTAAGGTGGAATGTCAACATCTTGATTATTTCCTTATTTTCTCTTTGAGTTACATGTGCTATTTATTTTAGTTGTTGTTGGTAGTCCTCAAGTGATGTAGTTTCTCTTATTTGGTACACTTCTTTCTTTGTAGTGCCAGTCTACAAGGTTCCAAGGAGGATGGTCTTTACCAGATCTACCAGCTTCATTCGTTCAAAGCCATTTCTAACCATTGATCTTAGAAAGTGGTTGTATACGACTAACAGTTTATTTCTGAATGGATTTGGTGCTTAGCTATGACATCTTTATGAAAGTTTCAATCTAATCTCAAGACTATTACTCTCCTGCCTTATAAAGGAGTGTAAACCCCAAACATTATAATTCTAATACATTTCATTATTGTATTTTGGCTATTTCATTTGTCTGTCTACATTGAAGGAAAACTGAGTAAAAAATTAAAAAGAAAACAAAACTATATTTTAACCCTTTCAATCCTAGTGGTACATAAGACCCAACAAAATCTCTCTTAATTTGTTAATTTCCTTAAATAATCACAGTTGCTACATAAAAATACTATTGGGACATTTTTGTTTCATCTCTAAAATGACTTTTGTGTTTAAAAGTACATCTAAAAAAATGAATAGTGTTTTATTGAAGGTCTCATGAACTCACTAATATAAAAAAAAAAAAAACTAATTTGCTTGTGCAAAAAAGTGGTAAATCCCTTTAAGTGAATGCTTACTAACTAAAATGATTAGAGCTGATGAAGGTAGGAGAATTGCCAATCAAAACATTGTAATGAAAAAGTGATTGCTTTTCTTACCTGAGTCAAACTTCTACCTCTCGGGTCAAACACCCGAATTGTTTTGTCTTTGCAGGAAGTGGCCAAACTTGAACCATCTGTTTTCCAAGCTATACACTGGACCTGGTCAGTATGGCTGTCCATAACTGAAGAACAAAAAGTAAGATTACGAATCTCTCATAAATATAAAATATATTAAATGGAGAGACATTGGAAAGATTCAAAAGCACCTCATTCAACTGATAACAATTTGTTCATTTTTATTTATTGCTATATATTTGGATGTTCTGGTAGTGTAATGGTTAGTAGCTTTGGAGTGAGAAAGTTTGAATTCTAGTTTGTTATATTCATTTTCACACAAATATTCTTGGGAAAGGTATGAATATATTTTTCCTCCCACCATCTATGGTTTAAATAATAGGGCAAACAGTTATCTTCAGCCTTGGTTGAAAACCAGTCTAGGTGAATGACAACTCTTAACTTTGAGCATGGGACTAGCAAACACCCATCCCTTGAAAATCTACTTGTTATGGAACCTGCAGTATAAATGCCTAGTATGTTGAAGCTGCAACCATGTACTCCATATTTAGAGTATACAGGACTTGTATGAGTGAGTGATATGTTCAAATAAAATGGTATAAATGTTAATTTTCCTAATAGACATAAAACTAGTAGTGCAGAGCTATTCAGCCTTGCTGCACTTTGTAAATGAACTGACTTGGAAAGTAGTTTATAGTTGAACCTCTGTCAATGTCAGCATTGGGTGTAACAGCTTTCTTTCTGTTATTGACTGAACATCTAAGGAGGTTGTTCTCACCTCCACCCACCCCAAGTGCTCACTTACCTTGTCTCTTCAACTGTTGTGACACTGATCAGACATTTTGTCTAGCAATGGGATAGTGTACAGAGAGAAGTGGATTCATGCCTATCCTAAGTGCATTAGGGTTAACTGTACACAAACAGCCTCATCTGAAATGTAATCTCTATTTGTAAAGTCCATTTTCTATACTAATAACCATTATGCCATTCCAAATACTAAAATTATTATTTTTTTGTTCATCTTGAATTCTTCTTTCATAAGTTTGAGAATCACAAATTTATGGATGCATTGAATATCAACAAACTTACTGAGTTTTTCTTTGCAATGAGCCACATCATATATTTTGACCACATTTGACGAAGATACAGCAAGTACGCCCTCTGCAGTCGGATGCCAAAGGACATTCTCTATTTTTCTTTCTTCTGCACATATCATCTGGGACTGTAGATTTAAGGAATTCTTGAGATTGTTTGAACTGCTGGGAAGCTCCCATAATTTCACCTAAAAACAAAAAGCAAACACAATTAAAAAAAGTTTATCAAATCAAATAACTTTAAAAAGAATAAAGTATCAAAATAATTTAAAGAAAGTATAAATCAAAATTTTAATTTATAACTTTCTCTAATGGATGGAGGTAGATATTTTTCAAAAAGCCCTTCACGTCTTACATAAAACAATGTTTTGCTATTGAAATCTTTAGACATTGAATTTGTGGGTCAATATTAATTATATTTGACTGTACTTTATCCCAACTGGAAGAGTTACTGGCATCCTTTGAACAATATAGTCTGAGACTTACAAGAAAATGTCCTTCTGTCTATAAATAAGTGACATAAAAGAATAAGAAGATACAAAATATATCTATAAGCTGAATGCATCTATCTACCTTGGACAAAGTGAGATCATTTTTTGGTAAAGTGTGAATTCCAATGACTCAGTCTGCAGCACAGATTGAGGGGTAAAAGCACTACAGAATGAGACTCAGTACTTGCAAAGAAAAAGCAATTAAAATTTAAAATGAATAATGCTTGAAAATGCTTTATCTAATTAAAATTCAATATCTGTCTATATTTCTGAGATGAGGTATTATGTACATTATTGACATTATTTGGACTATTGTCCTCATCTTTGTCACCATATTTATTACAACTGGATCTAACTAATACCTTTATCCACTGTGCCACATGGCACAGTGGATAAAGGCTTTAGTTAGATCCAGTGACAGGACCCAAAGAGTGTGAGTTCAATACCCAGTTAAGGCAGTGGAGAACTTTCAGAAGGATATTAACAGGAGATAACCGACATCCATTAAACTAGAACAGTCTACCCCAGTGAGCGAAGTAAAGGGTTCAGTTTGACATTCCAACCACCTGAAGAAAGCCAGAGCATACAATGGCTGAAACGTTGTAATAAATATGGCAACAAAGATGAGGACAATAGTCCGAATAATGTAAATAATGTAAAATTCAATATATTATTATTTCTACAGGGTGAAATTGGCAGGTGGTCTAAAAAAAATGAACTACAGTTGTTAACCAGGATAAGGAGAGGCTTGTTAATTTTATACCCTCAAAACGAAACTTCTGTCTATTAATCACCTGCCAAAATGAAACTTCTCTATTAATCACCTGAAAAGGTACTTTCCTGCCCCTCCCATCAGCATGGCTGATTCTAACCTCCATGAGATTCACTTGTTGCATTCTCAGCTGATATGAAGTGAAAAGACTATATTGAATCCATTGCTAGGTCTGCTGCAAAGAAAGTTTGGTAATTGTAAACATTTTTTCTCTCCAGAATCTATCTTACATATTTATAAATCTACCATTTGTCCATGCTTTGAATACTGCTGCTACATTTGGTTTGGTGTTCCCGCTGTATATTTAGAGATTCTTGATCCAGAGAAGAATCATCAATATTATTGGTCCTGATCTGGCATCTCAGTTTCAGTCACTTTCCCACCACCATAAAGTTCCTTCCCTGTGTCTTTTCTATAAATACTTTCATGATAATTGTTCAGATGGATTCTTCACTATGGTACCTAAACTTTATGAATTTACTAGACTGGTGGCAAGTTCTCATCATTTCATAGTTGAATAGGTTAAGATGTAACTAAATTCTATGCTAACAGTTTCTTTTCTCACATTTCTCATTTGTGGAACTCTCTTTCAGCTTCATGCTTTCCAGCCAACTTTGATCTTTAAAAATTTAAATGCAATGTCAATCACTATCGACTTTATTAGTCTTCTATTCTTCTCACTCTCTAACGTTTCTCTCTTTTTCCCTTGTTCTTTAGCTCATTAGGTAAATTATTCACTGCTTTTTTCATACCATCTTACCTTCAGTATGTCCTGTGAGTATCAAATTCTCTAAGTTCTCTTTCTACATTATGTGCCCTAGAAATTTCAACTGTTTCTGATTCTATGTATAAGGATCCATTTCCATTTTCCTTAAAACTGTATCGTTGCTAACATGTTCAGTTTATGATATTCTCAGTATCCTTCTGTACAACATTATTTGTTGGCTCAAATCTCCTCTTCATCTGTAAGAAGATTGTCCAGCATTCACAGCCATATAGGAGGACCACTATTACCTAATAGTCCAGTATGCTTTTCTTTGTTTCTAATTAAACTTTCCTGATTTTAATAATGTTGCTTAAATTTGGAAGGCATCTTTTGCTATGCTGATGTGCATTCCAATTTCAGTTTCATATTTTCTGTCCTCTGTTAAAAAAAATACCTAGATATTTAAATTGTTGTACTTGCTTGATTTTGGTATCTCCAATTTGTACTTCACATTTTAGGGTATTCCTCTTGCTAACAACCATACATTGTATCTTCTTACAATTGAGGTTTAGTCCTTTCTAGCTCACATTCTTTTATTATCTTCTGTAGAAATACCTGTATTTTTCTTTCTTGGTCTGCTATCAACACTGTGGCATCTGCATATCTTATGTGGTTAAGATTGTGGCGACCAATAATGAATCCTGGTAGGAATTCTAATTCTTTCAGGATTGCTTCAATGTAAAGATTGAAGAAATCCAGTGAGAATACACGTCCTTTTCTTATGACCCTTTCTATTTTTGTGTATTTACTGAATTCATTTTCTATCCATATGCAGATGGTATAGGTTCTGGATTATGAAATTATATAAAAGCTATCCGGAAGTGGTTATCACAAATCTATTACATGTGTAGAATGCCTGAAATAGTAATCAACTTCTCACTTAGTGGCCAGATCATTGGAATGGAACCTAGTCATTATGTGAGGAGCAGCTGTATAAATTATATTAAACTATATTTAGGTATTTCTTTACAGGTTGGGAGAAATATTTGCATATAAAGATTTATATCCAAACAGACCATATATTTGTCTTTTACGTTTATGTTTTGTAATCTATTAATAAGTTCACATATGAAAACAAAACTCTTATTAATAGAATAAAAAACAAACATTAAAGAGAAATATATGTACAGTTTAGATATAAAATCTTTATAACTCTATATACTCAATAAGTGCTTCAAAGTCTCAGTTAAACAAATAAGTCATTGTTTCCAAGTTAACTAAATAACTCATTAATCACTTAAGTATTTGCATCTGAGATAGAAAATAAAATGTTTGGTTATTTGCACAACAAATAAGATACAGTGATAACAGTGTGTATTTTGCATGTTATGTTATCCAATGAAAACTTTTACAATGAGCATTTGCATATTGATTATTGTATTGAATAAGAGTCATCGTACGCACGAGATCAAAAAGGAAGATGAGCAGCTGCTATTGATATTGGGAATATCTAAGATTCTTGAACAGAACCTTCAAATATTACTTACATATACAGTGTGGGTTGAAAGAAACTCTTTATTGAAAATTACTTATAACTTTTGGTAATTCCGAAAAGTGTAGAATTTCATTGCTAATTTCTGTTTTTATTTCAGAGTGATAAATGTAACCCAGAATGTCACAATGCCCAACATCATCCTGTTACAAAGTGTGACAGTTTGTGGTACAAGTGCACAGAGGGTGGCACAGTATTCATGGACCTTGTACCTTGGAATATGCTAAAACCTTCAGAAATTGTCATTTCAAGCTGATGAGTATGTGATCTGTGATAGATACCCAGAGAAGCAATCATCCTTCAATATTCGGATTGGAAGAAAATGTGAATAACGTATGGGAACTGTGCTTTACTTCCTCCATTATATTGTTCAAAATAAAACATGTTTTATGAAAATAAACCAATAATTAATAAAGTTATTAATGATTTTAATTAAGGACTTTTTCATCCACCCTGTAGATAAGAGAAAAAAGCTTTATCATCAGTTTGAGAACATATGTTCATATTAAGGAGCAATTTTGTCTCTAAAAAGTCTGAACTCATAATGGATTTGTGTGCATAGTGCAATGGTTATCGTTGCAGAAAGTAGAATTAATTCAAATTCTGGATGAGTTTGCTGCATTCACTTTTACACACTTGCAAAAGTATGAATTAATTTCTTCTGCTCCACATCTATGGGTTAACTTAGAGGGCAGACTGGGTACTCTAGCTTTTGGCAGGCAACCAATACAAGAGAAGATAAACTGGTTGGGCATGGGATTGACAACTCAACCCTGTAAAAATCTACTTGCTATGGAAGCCACAGCAGCAAAGTGGTGTGGCCATGGCTCTAAACTTGACAAGATGTGTATTGAATGGTTCTAAGGATAAGGTTTTATATCAGTTATATTTACAAAGTAATTTTGACAAGATTGAATCAATTGCTAGGTCTGTTATGGTTGTGTCATGCCAGACAATTTTATAAGGTAGAGGACATATGAATTTCTAAATTTCTAGGTGGGCTTGCAAGATAATAGGAGTAGATAATTTCACCTATTGCCCAGTTCACACTCCTTCCCATTCTTTTGAACAGGAATAGAGATTTCCCCCCTTTCCCTGTTTGATCTCTAGAGTCTTCGTATTCTCTTTCCCTCCCAGTAACCCCTTACATCTTTGTAACATTACATTATCACCTCGCTTGGGAGTGAAACAATTTAAAAAACAAAGAAAAATAAACCAATTCATGATCAATGATGTGCTTGAAACAAGGGCTGGGTTTAATTTGTTTAATTTGTTTTTTTTTGTTTTTTTTATTGCTGGTAATATTTTTTTTTTCTAAAATGTATTGCTGGTAATAAAAATTTTTCTTCAAAAATTTATTGCTGCTCATAATTTTTTACAAAATATATCTGGTATTAAAACCTATTTTTCATAGTGTTTTGACCCCAGTTTGGGGGTTAACTATTTGCCCATAGCTGAGACCCTAACAGGTGCTACCACTCCAGGTCAGGCTGGACCTGGGAACACCAGCAATTAAGAGGTGGCTCCATGCTCCTCAAAACCTCCTAATCAGAAGCCTTGCTCCTGGATGTAGTTTATCGTCATACCCAGGATGCATTTGA